AACGTTGTATTAAAAGTTGCATGCAACTATTTAGTCTTATCTTAAAATGCGCATACGACAATTTGTAATCGTAGTTATATTGGTCTTAAACTGTTTTCTTGTGCAACGCACTATTGGGTTGTTTATTATCGAAAAATTGCAGTTGCACGACAATGTGTTGCAACAACCAATGCTATAGAGTGCGTGCAACATAAAGTTTAAACGGTTATGTTATGGCAGTTTTCTTGTTAATTATATAAGTTTTTAGTGGTTACACGCTCTTCTTAACCAGCTCTCAATAGTTGGCCTTTGATGATTTCTCCATAATTAATTGTTGCCAACTTTTTCTTATTTTTATTTTTGCGTTTAAATTGTATTTTCATTAAAATTTCTTTTTCGCTTTCATTTTGAGATTTATTTTGAGCCTCGCAACCATTTTGGTTGGCCGCAAAGCTTTTAAAGTGAGCGTTGAAGGATCTTTGTGCATAAAATTCGTATGTATGTGTGTATAAAAAACTGTCTGCGGCTTAAAGCAGCTTTAATTTGCATATATATGCACACATATATCCTTTTTACACTTGCAGCAATTGTTTATATTCATTGCCGCCAAATTGTTGCCAATTGCAGTGTAGCTGCTAAAAGCCTCTTACCGCACAGAGCTCTCCACGTGCGATCCTCTCGACTCCAGTGCCGTTTCTGTAATCATTTTATTGCAACAATGCCTGCGGCAGCGTGTGCCTTTTTGTTTACCGTTTGTTGATGAGTTTTTTTTTATACTCGAGTCTTTTGAGGTCGTATGGGAAATGTAGTCTCAGCTTTGTATTATCAACAGTTGTTGTTTTTGCATTTCATATACTTTTTCATTATTTTACTTTATTATTCGTTCTTCGACAACAACAAGTCATTGCCAGATAAGCCTCGGGTATGCAACAATGCGAACATATGCGTGTAATGTTATTGCCGAGACGCTTCGCCCCCAATCTTCTCACCTCCTCCTTTCTCCTTTGAATTCTGTATTATTTACTTGGGTTGAAACTTTTTGTTTTTTACTTACTTGTGGCCGTTGATGTTAAAGAAGCTTACCCGTGCTCGCAATTTCTCTGCCACATAAACCATTCATAATCTTTGCAACAGCGTCCAAACACTGTTAGCAGCAATTGCCCTGAAATCCTAAATGAACTATGTACATACGAGTATTTCTCATTGAAACGAATGAAAGCGAAGGCGTTTATTTGCAATGTGCTAAATGGAAGGGCGGTGGGAGAGGCGTTATTGCAGGTGCCCTAGTTCATAGAGGAATATTCGCTATTAAAAGCTATTTTATTATATATATAATTAAAGGCTTTTTTATTAGTTTCGCAAATTTAAGTAAGTCAAAATTCTTTAAGTTAGGAATGCGTGTATTTGAAACTCTTTTTTTTCGAAAATGTTGTTTACTTAGCATTATGAAGATGAAAATGTGTGAATATATACAATTTCAGAATTTCAAAATATGCCAGGAATATATTCCTACCGTAAACTATGATTCTCCTGGGATACAACAGACAACATGCGACTATTCTAGCCGAGATATAAGTTCCCAAAACCTGTCACTCATTGAGAAAACCTTGTAAGATCTTCCCTTTAGAAACAATATAATTTTCAAAATTTTTTAAATCAAAATTTTCCTTTATCTAAAAATCTCCTAAAACACGGCATCACTCTCAGCACTTGCTGTGTTTCTTTTTTACTTATTTTACACACTTTTATTTACACATTCTTTATTATTATTTATTTGGTGCTCTTTTGATTGTGTGCCAATACAATACAATACAAGTAAGTGCACATGTTTGTTCCGAGCACATTTGTGGGGTAAAGTGTAAGTAATGTTGCATAGACACAAATCCCGGCACTTAACCTGATGTTACCACTGCTTCCGTTAGCAGCGCTGCGGCACAGTCGCAAATAAATAGCTATGTGTAATATATAGTAACGTGTATTTCCTTAATGCTTACTACGGTCTGTGCGGGTGGCGTGGGTGGTAAGTGGTGAGGGTGTTAATTTGTTGGACTGATTGGAGCAGTTCTTTGCACTGTAAGTAGTAAATGTGGGTAGTGGATGAGTTTGTGCCATTCTGGCAGGCTGCGAGGCAGGCGTGCGGAAATGTTGATAAGCCATTAGTGTGAGTGTTGAAATCTGTTGTGGCGGCACAAGTGTAAAATTGCAATTGTCCTTTTTCTTAAAAACAACAAAAGACACAAAAAGAGTAAAGAAAACCGACGACCTTTCTTCTCGCATTGTTTCCATCGCCATTACTGCGTGTCAAATTGTTTGTGATTTGTGTTGAAACAGAGCAAAGTTGCAGCTTAAAAGTTGTGCGAAGACAAGTTGTGTGGTTACCAAACTTAGTTGAACTAGTTTGATGTTATCTCTGCGCTTTTCGGGCTTGTTTTGCAAAGTTTTCAGGTTGATTTGATCTTCGAGTAAAGCGGGTAGAAAACTAATTTTAGTTTTATTATTCTTTAAATTCTTTTTCAGTTTATGCATGTTTGAATAATTTATGATTGTCTCAAATAGATTAGTTCGGAAATTATAAATGTAAATCTTGTGTGATAAGAATCCGATTAAAAACGGAAGTAAGTAAGTTGCCCTTTATCTTTGTTTGGTTATGTTTCCATAATTGGTATAATTGGTAGTTTTAATTTGGCAAACCTACTAAATTAATTTGATGAGCAAGTTACATATATGAGTCGAATCAGAAGTATTCCTTCTAATATAATAATAAAGCATTTTTACATGATTAATTGTTTCGTTGTTCAAATTATACTCTTTATTCGAGAGTAACATAGTTCTCTCGAAATCACATAATGAAGTACAGTTTAATAGAGTATTCATGGGAAGATCAACTCTTCTGCCAATCAGTGTAAAAAGTTTCCTGACTAAGAAATATAGCTACCAAAGGCAGGCGCTTATAAAAATTGAGAGCCTTATTTTCCACTGACGATCTCAACAACTCTTATTGATCAACTCAACACATTTTGGGTTATGTTTCGGTATGAAGCATGTCAAAGCTAGAAAAACCTAAATAATTTGCAGAAACGATTTTGAGTAGAGGGGGTTGCAAACGCATACATAGGTATTGGTGTTAAGAAGTGGGCTTATAAATATGACGACGAAACTGAGCCGCAACCGCAAAAATCTTAATTCAAGAAGTCCCTGAAAAACAGCTCAGCTGGGGCTTATAACAAGTATGTGGAAAATTGGATTATGCGGCGTTAAAAATTTTGATGAAAAAGCGAGAAAATGTAGTTTTCTTGGCAGTCCGGGTCAGTTGTGATCAGACGGTAGTTGTCTCTCTTCATATACTGATAAAAGTACTACTGATAGTAGGTTTAAAGTTTTAGCTCACGGCTGGAATAATAGAATACTATATTACGACAGTTACGCTCCGTTACTTTTTCTTGTTGAGCATTTGACATTGACGTCATAAAAAGACGGAAGAAAATGCTAAGATAAATTCGATTAAACAATGGAGATAGGTTCAAAGTTAAGCTGGAAAGGTTGAAGGTTTCGAGAACATATTAGATCATTACTTGATAAAATTTTCAGAAAGTCTACAACATCAGAAACTAAATTCATAAAGAATATTCTAATTAAAGTAGTTACTTTTTCGTATCTAAATATGATTGTGTCCACGATAAAATGATCATTTATTTGTTAAAGCTTGACGGCTTTACTATGAAAATTATGCTGCTGTTCTTTCAGCAAATAAGTTTGAGTATGCTTTGTGGTGCTTGACATTATTTCAGTAACGAAGACACAAATGTTTAGATAATGTATTAAAATATGTCGAGCAAACTGGCATTTCGAAGAACACCATATGCAACCAACCAATTTTCCATGCTAAATAAAACAAAATGGCGGAATTCATGTATTTTTTAAGGGACAGTGTACTAAAATAATGAAATTTTATTAAAAAAAAAGTATTATTCCGAGAAAATAATATCCCTTGAGTACGCTAATTATCGTTTTCTCACACACAATTCATGCAGCACAATGCATTTGCGCCTAATTGCTAAAATAACAAAAATTTTTTAATGAAAAATCAGTAATTTTAATTCATATCCGGTAATATGATTTCGCTTCTCGCCTAAATCGAGCGGTTGGGTATAAATACAATATGTTTAATGTAAGCAACGCCCGGAACATTGAACTTTGGGCCACAGCAACCTTAACGGCATAGTTACTGTTGTGTTTGTTGTTGCTGCCGTTAACAAGTATTAATATCAACACCCCCAAATTGGCACTTAGTAGCGGCGTTGCCCAAACACATACGTATGTACGCATGTGGATGCCACTAAGGGATGCACGCAACCGGCTTTTAAACGCCGCATGTGGCAATATGTAAATGTGGGCGCGGGTAAACACAACAAAGTGCAATAAGAAAAACAAATGCAATTAAGCATAAAGCGCGCACCGTTATCCTTAGAGGGCGTGCCACAACACACTCATATGTTTTATGTGTATTTAAATATACATATGTATGACGTTAGTGGGTGTATGTGTGCGCTGTGTATTCGCACTTTCAGCTGCGTCTTCAGCGCGTGGGGTTAACTCTGCGCCTCGCTGTGTGGTGGGGCGTTAAAATTCGTTGAATTTATTATGCAAGCTTATGCCATAACGTGACGCAAAAGGTCGTGCCACAATGGGTCCCTAAGGGCTTTTCATGATTTTCATGACTCTTAAATGCAATACGCCGCTCCCCTCCCCTCGCCACTTATGCGCACCCCATGCTGATGAAACACAACAACTTTGCAACAAAATTAAATCGAATTTTAAAGTTTTCAACAGCAAATGAGGTCGAGGAGTTGATAAACACTCAAGCAGAGAAGCATATATACATATATATACACATATGTGTATGTGTGTACACACATATGCAATTGTAGGCGTAAGTCAGGCGTAAATGACTGCAGCAGCACGCAAGTTGTTCGGATTTTCATATAAACTAATTCGTTTGTTTTGTTCTTTCTTCGTTGCAGATTCGCCACCGACTTCATTGATGTGCGCGAAAAGGAGACGCGTCGCGGCACACGCGGCGCTGGCAATCCGGAACGCAAGCGCGGTCGCTTCCATCAGCGACGCAATCAGCAAATGCAGCAAACAATGCAGGCTGATGACGCGTCTGCAGCCAGGTTGGCGCTGTTGGCAACAACGACGCTAAAAACGATTGCAACAACAACAACAACGACTACGACTCCAGCGACCCTAGTAGCACAATTAGAGGCGTTTGCAAGCGAAAATGAATATATCAGCAGCGACAAGGAAAACACGCAGCAACAAAAGCAACTGTTCCAACAACAACAACAACAGCAGCAGCAACAACAAATTTCCAATAAAACTGTCAGTGTTGATGGCAATCAGCAGAGCAACGACAACAACGCGCAGGCGGCGGGAATTAATACCAACATGTCAACAGCAACGCTAACCAACTCTAAGGACACCACCAACATACAAACAACAACAAGAACACCAGCAATGGCAACAGCACAAAAATCAGCGCCGAGCCGTGGCAGCAGCAGTAGTGGCAATAACAACAGGCAGGAATCAAACCGCGACGCTAATGCTGACTTCTCCTCCGAAGAAGAAGCGGCTAGACGCATCAAACCGGAAGATTTATTAGAGTTGCAGGAGCGTATCACAAAGGAAATACTCAATTCGAAATTGCAGGGCAAGGAAATGCTGGAATTGCAGGTAAGTTAGCAGCAAGCAGCAAGCAGTGAGGCAAACAGTAGACGCTCATAAACAAGCAAACGCGTGTCGTTGAAAGCGGCGTCGTGGCAAGAATACGGGTCAAGTAGTAGTTGCCAACGAAGCATGTGCCGTGCTACTAATCCAAGTGGCATGTTCATAGTGCATCCGTTGAGTGGATATATACTACGGCTGCATGCTTGTTGGACAACAATGTCGCTGCTCATGCATTCCACTGGGGTTCGATTTCACCTGGTAGTTAGGTGTTACGGAGCTCTTATGTACATATGTAGGTAGGTGGATATCGGGGCGACAATGATGAGTGCAGTCGGGTAATTCGTTTAGCAGTGACACGCCGCCTTGTGAGCTTACATAATTGCTGTCACAGAAGTCCCAGCTGCGCGCGGAAAAGTTCATTAGTGCAGAAACAGCAGGTGCATATGGCAAGGAGCAAAATAGTTAGCAGATGATATTTATGCAAGGGGACCATGTAGCGCTTAGTGAAGTTTAGCAAGTTTAAGGCAGCGCAAAGTTTCATTGTTTGTTCAAAAGTTTAGTTCAAGTATAGGTAGGATAAAATCAAATACAGGGTGTGGGTATGTTATGCGTACCTTAGATTTAAGAGACTTTTTAAGTGAATATGAATTTTTTCTAGGGAAATTTTTTTTTAAATAGGAAATATAATTTTTACAATTTTTAAAATAAACCTTAACTTCGACTACAACGAAGCTACAATACCCTTCACAGGTACAGTTCATTCTAGCCATGTTATTTGATACATATACCTTTTTAGTCGACTTCAGGCTTAGCTATATGCTATATTAGTTTAATCTGAATAATTTGTTCGGAGATTGTAGCGTTGCCTTAGCCAATAATCCGTGCTAAATTTCGTGAAGATATCATGTCAAATGAAAAAGTTTTCCATACAAGCACTTGATTCCGATCGTTCAGTTTGTATGGCAGCTATACGCCGTAGTCGTTCAATATCGGACCGTTCCGATAAATAAGCAGCTTCTTGGTGAGGAAAAGGCGTGCGCAAAACTTCAGATCAATATCTACAAAACTGAGGTAGTATTTCACGTATATACAGGCGGATAGACAGACGGAATTGTCTAAATCCACTCAGATTGATTATTTATATATTACTTTAAAATCTCCGATGTTTCAGCTTCTAATATCCTTTATGGATTGATTCAACACTTTTTGTCGGATGTTTCGGGTATTAAATGCATCACTGCATTTTAAAATTAAATCAAGTTATGTCTCGACGAAGGTAAAAAACAAAAATTTCCAAAGGATTTATTTTAAATAATAATAGTAAATATAACAGTAATAGAAAAAAACCAATTTTGTACGGAAGAGAATCTTATTTGCCATTTCGAAAGATTTGCAAGAGGTTTTCGATATTTTTTTAATTCCGGCACATATTTTGTCAGATAACAAGCGGGAACTACTATTAAAGATAAGATTAATGCCTTTCAAAATTGTATCTCTATTATGATGATTTACCGAGCGGTCGTCAGAAACTGAACGCGTTTTGAACCCTAAGCAAGGTATACAAGTATTAAGTTTGCCACAAGTTTATAATACACAAATGAATACGTCGGAGACCATATGAAATATCTATATAAATTACCAGTATGACGAGCTGAATCTATTTAGATATCAATTTGAAATTCTGCACATTTCTTCGTAAGAAGCTATTCATTTGTTGGAACCGCAGATATCAGACCACTATAGCATATAGCTGCCATACAAACAGTACGATCAAAATCAAGTTCTAGCATTGAAAACTTTTTTTTGAAAAGGGTATAATAGCTTTAGTGCAAGCGAAGTAAACATTTTTTCTGGTTTTTTGCAAGAACTACTCAACTTTGTCACACCACTAAAAAAAATTGCAACAAAGTAATTATTTTCAGTAAAGCCTATCCACTTTAAACTTCCACTTCACTTTAACAAATTTCCAGCTTTGATTAAAGAACTTAAATTTCAATTTAAAATTGCCAGCGTTAACGACTGGTCCAACTTCATCGCTGCATTTAATAGTGAGTTATATGCTGCTTAATAGCTTTCAACTAAATATTGCTATGCCCCAACTATTTTTATAGCAATAACACTTGACGGGACCAAGTTAATATTAGCAGCTCCTTTATTGACGTTGCGCGGCCGGACACAGCTTTGTTGTTGATAAATTCTCAAACTTACCTTCGTCCATAAGATTTTATTATTAGCTTTTTTATATCTTTCTACCTTAACAACACTGGTATTACACACACACACACACACACTTGAATATTTCACTTTTTCACTATAAATTTCATTTTCTCTTTACACACATTTTTATATCGCCGGATGGTATTTTCATGCGCCACTTGGATGTTTATATTACCTCCTCATGCTGCGCATCATTGTCCCTGCGCTTCTGTGTTGCATGGCATAACTTGCAATACCCTACGCGGTGTATTAATATCGACATTGTTGTTGTTGTTGTTCTTGTCGCTAGGAGAAAATCAATCGCGAAATTCTAAACACAAAGGTGTTCAATATGGATGCTGGCGGCGGCGGCGGCGGCGGCAAGCGCAAGCGGCGACGTAAAAATCAACGCGCCATCAACGGAATGCCAAACGATCAGCAAGCAGATGCCACAGCGAATGGCGCGGCCGGTGATGGTGGCGGCGAGGGTGCAGGCAAATGGAAGAGCAGCGTTACGGCCAAAGCACGTAGCCTAATGAATTTGCACAACAACGAAGCGGGCCGGCGGGTGAGTACTTTTCTTGTATATGTTTTATTACACATTTTTTACAAGTCAGCGCACTTGTCGCATGCATCAAACTGTTGCAAATAAGTGGCGAAAACATTTATTAATTTTCAAAAAATAATTACAAAACTTTTTATTTTTCTTTCGTGAACTCAACATGTAACAATTTGAGAGGCAACATAAAAAAGTTTTACTTTTCATCATAAAACACAACAACTGCGAATATGTTGCAACCATAAAGAACAGGTTGTTGAATTTACTATACTCATGGGAGAGGTATACATATGTAATTGTGTGCGTGTGCTTTGTTTTCTCGCTTTGCTTGCGTGTGACAGTTGCGAGTCGATTAAACTATTTTCTGTTTACGCTTTATTAATTTGCCTGAGGCGCGCGGGGGAAATTGCGAATTAAAAACGGAATTCATTGGACATCCACTTATGGTCGCTTTTGAAATGAACAAATGTTGGTTGCAAACCAAGGCAACATGTACCACAAGCACACATACACACACCCATGTATATGTATATAAGTATGTGTGGCAAGAGCACAAGAAATTTAATAAAAATTGTTATCAGTTGTTGAGCAGCAGTGTTTTTGTTAGTTATTGTTGTTGTAGTGCAGATTGACTTACAGTAGCCAATTGGCAATTTTAAACACAAACTGCTTGACACACACAAACAGATATAAATACATACATACAATGTTGCATTTGTTTCTCTTCTGGCCTTTCCACTGATCTGGCCAATCAAGCGCAATATGCCTGAGGCAATTAGAGTCTACGTTGATTTCCTGTGTAGTAAATTGAAAAGCGTGAAACCAACGGCAACGGCCGGCGATTGTGTTGCACATAGTTACATAGGAAGCAGAGCATGCGGCGACATTGCTGCTGATGACACCGTTACTATGTTTCATTTATATATTTGTTTTTTTTTTTTTTAGTTTTTAATAAATAGTAATCTGTAAAATTGTCGAATACAAGCAGCGATGGTGAAAGTTCATTATTTTTTAATAAATTACACTCTTAGACAATTTTTGTACAAAACTTAATTAATTTCTTTTGTAAATGTTGCCCAGTTTGATCTGAAAGTTTATGAAATTTAATATATAATATTATGTAATACCTACAGTATAGCTTACTCATCGAAACAATGTTCGTTACTAAGCATATTTTAATTCATATAAAAAGAAAATTAACTCGAGCTAATCGAGTCAGAAAGTTCTCGCATACTTGGCTCACAGCTTAAACTCCAATTTAATTCATAACAGTAAAGAAATTGAAGCTTCGTTAATATCATTCCAGCCGTTATTAGGTGGTAACATGCCAATAGTTATGCCAATCTCCTTAAAAATATACCATTAACAAAAAATTTTTTAATCTTGCCATACTTTACATTTCTAAAGAATATGCTGCAATCTGCTGTAGTCGAGATCTGATCCGATCACCATTAACAGTTCGGAAACGATTCATATCAAGATATATTTAGAGATAATAACCGTAAAAATTTTGAAAGCGTATTTGGCAAAATTTAATTTTTTAGCTCAACATAGATGCCGGGTCAAACCTTGGTTATAGCGTTTTTCAATTATTTGATACCACTTTTCTTACTCTAAACAGGGTTTATATTTTCAAAACCCAGAAGAAAACGTCGGAGGCCCTATAAAATATATTTATATAAATGATCAGCATGACGAGCTGAGTCGATTTAGCCATATCTGCCTGTCTGTAGATACGCGAAATAGTTCCACAGTTTTTGAGATATCGATCTGAAATTTTGCCCATGTCCTTTTCTCTACGAGAAGTTGCTTATTTGTCGGTATTGTCAATATTATACTAATATACCATATAGCTGCCATACAAACTGAACGGTGGGAATCAAGTGCTTGTATGGAAAACTTTTTCATTTGACGAGATATCTTAAAGAACTTTGTCATAGGTTATTGCCTTAGACAATAAAGTAATATCTGAAGAAATTTTTCAGATCGGATCACTATATCATATAGAAAGAGAACAAATACATTTACAAAGTCTCTTGCTCATATGAAAACTATTTATAAGTGGCACAGTAAGAGTATGTTAAGATAAAGCAAAATATTCAAAGTGGAGAGTATGACCAATCAATATGCCAACTAAAATACATAGTTGGTCTCCTGAAAGTCGGTTTTATGTAGTCGGAACGAAGCGAGCTTTTAATCTGCCTCAAGGTTGCCATCACAGTAGTATGTAGTTTTAATACTACTATTTTTGAAAAGAATATAGAATATTGCATGCTGTTACTACAATCCTTACGAGACCTTTTAAAATTAAGCAAATATATCACTGAAAGACACTTGATTCAAAAAAAATATATGTAGGATAGGTAGAAAGGAATTCATTAAAACAAAAGCACGTTCCAGCGAAAAACTAAAAGTTTTTAGCGGCCTTCCAAAACGAATTATTTTATTTATGTCTGCATAGAATTTTACACATTATAATTTGAGTGATTGAATTCCACAAGTAATGCGTGTAGATTGCTTGCTTCGAACCAAGCCTTAACCAAGCCCCTTTCAATCAACAAATATTAAATATTAATATATAATATAAATCAGATACAAGTTCATCCAGTTAATATGTACAACATTGCGACACAAACGCCTCAAGAGCAAAGAAACCACAACTCTTCCAAACCATTTACCAATTAAGTATGCGTATGTATGTCTGCACACCCAATTATTCACAAAATATATTGCCAATAGCTAATGAACAGCTGATCGTTGATTGCTAATGGTTGCCACTTATAATCCATGCAAATTATGCGTGAATACATTCCAGCAAACGATCGTTACGAAGCACTCAGACAAATTGAGGCGCAGTTGCATTTAAACCATGCCATTTTGTTTACTGGTTGATGCGGGTACCAGTAGTTGTACATATTTGCCACTGAGACATACATGCTTAGCTGCAAAGACTTATTAATAATTGTTGGCGTTAATTCTGGAGTGCCTGCTCTAACTACTTCACACCGCCTTCCGCCCTTCAATTGGTGGCACAATTAATGCTAGGTTAGTTGGCTAATGTGGCACACAGTATGTGTTGCACACTCAGCGCTGCTTGTGACCATGGGGTGCGGCAGAATAGTATTTGAGATTTTTCACACTTACTGTGACAGCAGCAATTAACAGTTCATGCAACACTTAGTGGCGTTGAGTTTTGTAGTGGGAATGGGTATAAAAATTACTGCTGCGGAATAATTGTGTTCAATAAATTAATGTCCCGTTTGACATTCACATAATGTTTTTTTATGATAAAATCAGCTGAAATTTATTCTCTGCTTACATATGTGTGTGTGTATGTGATTTTTGGCAAACAAAGTGGCATGATATTTAACCATAAATCAATGTAATCTCGTGTTAATAATCTATAAATACAAATATAAATGTCATAGACATGAATTCATTAAAAAAGGCTGCGATAAAATCAAAGCGTGGAATTTTTTTATAAAAAAAATTGTTATATCTCTCATTATTGATTTCAAAAAAAAAAAAATCGCAATTTGTGTAGATTTATTGTAGCAATAAATATGATATATCTGAAAACGAATTTGAAGTTGAGGGGTGGGGCAGCGGCAATAATTGTTATTTTATTAAAATAAATTTGAAAATTAAAAACGGATTAATTAAATTCTTATCATTTTACGAATTAATTTTATTTACAAACAAAATAGAAAGTAACAAAAACGTTGCTTTTTTGGTTTTTAAATAAAATTTTTTCTTAAATTCATCGACATAGTTTATCAAACAGACATTTGAGTTTTCAAGAGAGTCGTCTACCTTCGTACTCCAGGGCCTCTTTTCGACGATGGATTGAAAAAATTAAACATTATATATATGTACAAATTTTATATATTTCAATAATTAATTCCTTATGCTCCACAGACGTAGTCGGCATCTTGGCAATAGGTTTCTGCTCTAGAACCTTGAAACTAAAGATTTATTTTTTTTTTACACTGAAAATGTCAAGAGTAGAGACAGAGTCTGTTGAAATTCGCGTCCAGCGCAGGCATCGTAAAGACTGGCTTTTTGTCGGTATCTAGCTGGTATCGCAAATACCCAAAACTGGTCTCATGGCATGGCCTACCAGACGAACCTTACCTAACCTTATAAGCAAGCTACTCTGAATATTTCAAAAACTTAAAAAAATTACACCAATTTAAAAAAGTGCATTTTCGGCCATGTTTTTCGATCTTAAACACAGTATAAAATCCAAAAAGACTCCTGTCTAAACATAGCGAGATATTTTGTTAATCAGTCACAATTTAAAGATTTCGAATATATATATTTTATAGTTTTGCCCATCGTCTTGTTGGAAATAGAGATCGTCCGCGTCAATTTCATCAAATTCCGGGGAAAACCTTCGGTTAACATCGTGTTATAACGCTCGATATAAATATAAAAATAAGAAATAAGGCACGATGATGCCACCAAATCATAATCCGCACCAAACGGTCAATTTTTGTGGATGCAATTGTGTTTCCTGAGCCACATGAGGATTTAAATCACCCCTACAGCGACAAAATGGTTTCTTGACGCAGCCATTAAGCCATAAATGGGCCACTTGAGAGAATATGATTTTTCGATGAAAGTGAATTTGTTGTGAGGCGTTGTACCAAAGTGAAACGTGACATAATGAAATAGCAAATCTTACTGAACACACTGACAAATTTGACACAAGTCCTTAAACAAAAATGGCCGCCACGACCTGTCAAAATCACGTCATTCCTATTGGTAGACGCTGTACATTATAGATCAATATTGAATCCCACATAAAACTTTGGTCTCATCCATATTTTACTTAAATTATAAATTCTGCAACATATTCTCCCACTTCCACTTTGCATTCACGTCTCTCTATAAACCGCAATTTCCACGGCGTGGCAAAATTTTGCCACAAATAGCCTAAACCACGAAGGTGAGTGCGTAAGTGCAACAAAGCAAAAAAAAAATGCAAAAAACAGGCACATCCATATCTGTAAAATAATAAAAAATTCAATTTTTCACTAACAATAGTGTTGCCAAGATTTTTATTTTTTTTTTGTTTTTTTGTATAATAAAAAATGGATATGCAACAAAAAAATGCGCTTGAGCTGGATTGTTTAAAAGCCATTTGTGGCGCTAGTTGTGTGGCAGCAAGCCAAAAAAATACGCACGCACACACACACATACACAGGCGGAGTTGAAAATGCAAACGCCAAATGAAAAATTCAGCTGCAAAAAAGGCAGAGGCGACCAAGTTTGTCAAAAAGGTTTGTAAAGTTCACAGCGAGCCAACATCACTCATTACCAGCCACAATAAGAGCCAACATGGGAGCAGCGACTAAAGTGACAGCACTAGCAACACTAACAAAATAACCGTTACTAAAGGCTAAACTAAAAATAAAAAATATACTTAACAAATAGCTGTGCATATATTTTACGCAAGGCGGGAAAAAATATCACAATATTTTTGATTTCATATATTTACAGTAGTGGGCCCAAAAATTGGGTGCAAAATTTTAATAATATTTTTGTTTGGTGGAAAAGAGGAGCATGCAGACAAACTATGATTTTTCAATAATTGCTATTCTAAAGCAATTTTATTCAAATTTTAAATATTATTTTAATTTTCAAGTTCAACCAAAATATTCGTACTGGGCAAGTTGCGCCTTAAATTTAATATATAGACGCATCGTTTGCATCTTTGTTGTTGACGATTTGCTGCCAATTGTTGGCTAAAAGTTCAATTTGCCCAGCAATAGATTGCTTCTAAGTTTTTATACCCTGAGTATATATGTATATATATAGAGTTTACCACGAAGTTGAGTCGATTTGCCATATCCGTCTGTTTCTCCGTCTGTTAATAATCAATGGACAAGTTACATAAATTTTTGAGCTTTCGACCTGAAATTTTGCACGCTTCGTCTTCTCTCCAAGAAGATGCTTATTTAGTGGAATCGCTGATATCGGACCATTATAGTATATAGCTGTCGTACAAGCTGACCGATAAAAATTAAATTCTTGCATGGAAAACTTTTTTTATTTAACAAGATATCTTCACAAAATTTAGACCAGATAATTGTTCAGAGCTACGCTTCAATCTCCAAACATATTGTTCAGATCGCACCAATATAGCATATAGCTGTCATACAAACTGTCTAATTAAAATCGATAATAAAGATCAAAGATCTTTTTATACACTTTTATGCCATAATAAAAACACATGTGAAGGGTATTATAGCTTCAGTAAAACTCACAACATATACACTCTTTTTTGAAACAATTAAAGGAGCTCAATAACATATCTCAAACAAATTTTTGATCGTTGAGATTTTTTGCTATGTACCGTACCTTTTTGTTTGCGTCTATTAATTTTTTCCTCTGCATGTCAATTTTCTTTGCTAAATGCTTGTTCATCAACATTTGGCACTGGCAAAAATACACTTCCGATCCCAAGCGTATACAAACAGTTGCGCAGTATTTTTTCAGGACATATGCATATATGGTGGTACATATGAGCGTCGAATGTAGCAGACACGTCAATTGAGCAAGTCTCCAACAAAATAGCGAAAAAAGCAAAGATATTCTAATAAAGACTGGGTGCATTGCGGGTATTGTTCCTTTGAAGGTGTTGTCTTTTCCCACAAAGTTCGATTTTTTTCTGAGTAGTTGTTGTTGCTGCGGCACTTGCTGTTTTTGATAGCGTTGTGATGCTCCTCTGAGCTTGTGTGTTTGCATGTGTTCATTTGGCAGCCTCACACAGTGAGTGAGACACCAGACAATCAACTTCGGACAAGATCGTTTGTATTATTTTTTTTATTTTTTTGGTTGTTTTGTGAAACAAATGCAAATTAAGTTGCTTTTGTTGCTGTGATGCACGTAGTTGCGTCAGCAGACGGCAAGTGTGACAGTGAAAAAATGTAATATACCGCATGTCGCCACCATGTTACGCTGCAACGTAACTGTAACAAACAAATGTTATGAACAGCAACAACAAATGACATAAACTGCTGCCGTGTTAGCAGAGATTGCTGTTAGCCGCTGTGACAAAGTCATCGCGTACGTCGCGTATTGGCAGCTGACATATGTTAGGGGTGTTTAAAAAATAGATCAACTGCTTAGATATTCTTGTCAAAAAAATACAAAAGTTAATTTTCTATTGAAAATTTTTTCGATACATCGTTCTGAAATTTTCATACGATCTTTTTTCCGTAAGCTTAGAAGCTGACGAGCTATGTCCAAGAAATTTGGCATGGAGTATTGCATAAGGCAATGGTGTAATATCCGTAGAAATAGCTCAGTTTGTATCAGTATAGCATACAGCTGCCATGTAAACTGAAATATCGGAAGCAAGTGCTAGTATAGAAAACTTTTTAATTCGAGGAAATATCTTCGAGAAATTTGGTATGGATAATTGCTTTAAACAAAAAAACAATATCTGAATAAATTGTTCACATCAGATCACTATAGCATATTGCTGTCATACAAACTGAACGATAAAAATCAATCTTCAAGATTTTTTATACCCTGAACATAGCATCAAAGAGGAGTACGACTTAAATATTTTAACTTAAATATTTGTATAGTGTACTAGTTGCTCGAAAAGTAAAGGCGGTCACCCTGTACTTGCTTATATTTTTTACAAAAACAGCTACTATAGAAAGTTTTACGTTTCACAGCGCTATCAGTCGATTTGTGATTTCTTTCATTCTGTTCCACTACTTTTATCAGCGGCAATATTCTTGCAACGAACGTTATTGCCACTGCTTGCTTTATACTTCGCTGACCGAAATAATGAGAACAAATATCTATTGCGTTTTACTGCGCGTTTGCTGGCTTTGCTGTAGTTGTTGTTGTTATCCACCCCGCGTCGCACGCCGAATATTCTTCAGAAATTGGTGCTTGGTTATTGATGTAGTTGTTGTTGTTGTTGTTCTTGTCGCTATTACTATTGCTGCCGCTAAAAATTGCATATTTGCGTGCTTGCTGTGTTCTTATAAAGTTTGGTTGCAACCAAAGCTGGTTGCACGTAGACAGCGACCAAAGCAGCAGATGTCGTGCTGTTGCTATTGTTGCAACGTTACTTTTCTTTGTTTTTGCTAAACGTACGTCTGGCTTTGAGTCTGTGTCTGCTTTGTTTGACATTTGATATGCCACACAATTGTAATGTTGCATCAATTTAAGTACGTTTTTTGCCAACAGCCACTGCCGCAAGACTTTGCAGCTTCACTTGTGTCGCTGCTTGTAGGCAGCCATGTTGCCACGCACACGGATACACACACGTGCTATAAAACTACCGCGCGGAGAAGCTTTCTGCAACATTTTATGTGCAATACTTCTTATCATTTGTCGCCGTCCGTTTTCAAATGTGGCATGTGTAAATATACACACACACGTACATATAAATGCTGTTAGCTTTGCTTATTCCACAAGCAACGCCGACAGCTAGCTGAAAATCCTCATATAAATGTGTAAGGAAGTCAACAACGTCTGTGGCAGTTGCAGTGGCGCTGTGGCAGCAATAAGTGGTTGTTTACGTTGCCAAATGCCAACACACAAATCGCAAATTCAATTCATTTTTTATATTTCACAGTTATTTATACACAAGCATATCTATACACATAACACCGTATTATCCAACACATACATATGCATGTGTGTCCAGCTCTCTTTTGAACTTTCTTTTTTATATTTTATATATAAATTTTTTCAATATTTCTCGCTCGTTGTTTTTTTTCATATACTTCCCGCTCTTGCGTCAGGATTATTTTTCACAACTGTGTATGTCAGTTCATATTTGTACACCCATCAGTCTGCAAGTGCTTGTGTGTGTGTGTGTGCGGACACCAGCTTGTCTTCGTATTTGTATTGTGGCATGGTTTCAAATTATTTCGCTAAGTAGCAGGAAATATGAGCAATTCTTTTGTATGAATGAATGCCAGCGCAACCGGAAAACGCTCTAGTAGACGCACACACTCACAAATACATTTGTATATGTGTGTGGTTATGTATTTTTATCAATGGTCTAGAAATTAAGTAATTGTTGTGTGACTTGTGAGGTTTCAATTTGTGCTTAAAGAAGATTCTGGCTTTTGAGTGTCGTGGGTCAAATTGTCCTGGCTCGATCTTAAAGATTTTAAGCATTTAACTGTTACGAATTGATGGTGTTATTTAGTTACGTTGAAGTAAACTTTTCGAAAAACTTCAGAGCTTCAACTCACAAACCGAATCTGAAAATATATTTCTGGTGCTAGGATAAAGAGAAGAATATTTGCAAAATAAAAAAATTGTTAGACTCTTTGATTAAAAAAACGTAGCTCATTGCCTATTTGAGAGCAAAAGTCCGAAATTTCTTTAAAAAGTTGCAACATTATTGAAAATTTTACCATTATTGGCTGAATATACAATAATATATTGAATGTCAATTTATAAATCGTTGGCCAAAGAATATCTTACTTTCATTAAAGAAGCTGAAAAAATCTTACCGTTAATACAAATAATATATATCTTATAGTTTACAAATATTTTTTCGATGGATTATGCTTGAAATCCCCGTTTTCAAAATCCCCAAAACAAAATCTCCAAAACAAAATTCAAAATAATAATCCTGGTCGCTCCAACACCGGAATGCAATGGTGGCCTTCAGTCGCGCTTTAAGAAAATAATCCTGGCCGATCCAATACCGGCATATCGTCAGTTCTTTCGCTTAGAACTCCTTTTTGGGAATTTTAATTTTTGGTATTTTTTTTATATTTGTGGTATCGAACCCCTCCCATTTTCAGTTTAATCTCTATGTCAATGTGTCATCCCTTTCGACGCCCCTTAAAATAAAAATACGACAATATTACGTGTCTATTTCTATATGTCTTCCATATAGTCAGCAAAAAAAATTAAACTTTGCTCTGATAAAAAACAAAAAAAAAAAAAAAAAAAAAAATGTATGCATATAATTAAAAATTTCTATTTTTCCATTACAGGCTGTCATCAAGAAGACGCGCATCACATGCAAATGCCATGGTGTCTCTGGTTCATGCAGTTTGATCACCTGTTGGCAGCAGCTCTCATCGATTAGAGAAATCGGTATGTTTTTTATGTTTAACCAGCTTTAGACAGAGAATGTTGAAGAGTAGAGAAGGAGCAAATGTTAAATGAAAACTTTTTGAGTACTAATTTGTAATTCCACAAGAAGGAACATCGAAAAGTATAACTTCGAAAAAGAAAAATACACCACACAATATGCGAAATGCTATAAATAGACACAACGAATATTCCTATATGAAAAATCGTTGCGCATACCTATTTAGATTTATGTTTTCAATTTCTATGATATGACAAATTTATAATTATGAAAAACCTTTTGAATTAAAAATCTGTATTACCGGTAAAAACCCCAGAATTCATAATAAAATAAACATTTAATAAGCTAGTTTTCTAACTTATGTATGTGCGTTGCGTAAGCAATATACTTATTAAACAAATAATAATAATAAAACGGTGGCTAAGCGGCCACGTTTCCACTTTTGTGGTGGCTTAGGTTGTAAGCGCGAAGGAGTTAAGCTCATTCCGAATACGAGCATATACGTTCGAATCGTAAAATACATAAAATTAAAATTGTATTTAATTTTTTTATTTTATTAATTGGAATCTAAGCATATCATAATTCAATTACTTTAATAGCATATTTTACTTTCTGATATAATTAAAATATATCAGGAGAATATGTTCATATGTTTGGGTTTATTGCATATTCCTTTATTTATGCGTATTTACACAAATGTGATAATCACACATACATTCATGAGTACACGTACGCTGATGCTTGCTTCTTCTTGCCCCGCACAAGCAATGACTTTTGTCCACACTTTTTGCTGTTTGCGAGTTGAACGATCGCAGGCAAGGAGGGATTGGGGCGCACTGCCACATAATTATTTCAGATATATATTTTATTTATCGAATTTAGTTTAAAAACGATTATAGGTATGAATATATGTGTATTTATATATATATATATTATATATATTATATTACGAAAATAATTCATAAATGCATCAGTATTTTTCAATACAAAATAAGCAACATATCAATATATTATGAGCCCTCACTTGACACGCCTATGTGCATGGTGGCAAGCCAACGAAATAACGGCGAGTTCGCGCGGACATTGTGTTGTTGAAAAAAACCAAATGACGACTTTGCCGACAAACATACATATTTATATACATACATACAAACGAGCTCGCATACATATTGACGCCAAATTTTTCGCATCGTCGCGGAGTTGACAAAATTTGTTTCAATCGACAATTTTGCGACAATGTCGATCGGCTATGTTGTCTCGTTTGTCCTTTTTGCAGTGGTTTGCTATTGAAAGTTGACTTATGCTCTTTTGAAATATTGCGATTACCAATTGGGCTGCATTTTCATAACGTCGTATTTAGATAAAATGGGCTAAATCGAAAAACTATGAAACAATGATAATAAGTAAACATATAAAAGTACTATATGCAGTGTGCATAGAATATATAGAAGTAGTTAAAGATTTCTTATGAATGGCAATTTTATATAAATTTTTTAATTTAATGCCATATTTAGTGCATAATATGCAAAAATATAAATATTATTTAAACTCGCTAAGAGGTCATGTTGCCAATTCTCCTTTTTGAAGTGAACTTCAGACAAATTCTTCAATTTCTGATTTTTAGCAAATGTTGTGAGGAAGCAGCTTGTGGGCAACATACAAACGCGAGGGGGATGATGAGTAGGATTTTCAGTGATACAAATTGTAAAATTGAAATTTTGCTGATTCTTCAATTTTACTGAAGACATTCAAATTCAATTTCATTCATTTTTATTTTCGCGCATTTGCGGTAGGAATTCTATATGAAAACCAAATGTGGTTTACCAGGCGCACAGAAAATATAGCGCGGCGCAGAGTTATGAACGAGCGCACTTTGCTTTGAAGCAGACGCACGTTCCTTATGAATGAATTTGTTGTCGTTGTAATATAAAATACTTAGAAAATATGCCGCGAGTTCGCTTGAATATTATTGGCCGATGATGGTGCGTCTACGTTTTTTTTGTCACTTGCCCGAGTGTTAGATTTTTTGCGAAAGACATATTGATGGACATACATATGTACATATGTGTACATATATGCAAATATATTTGGACATGCGAATGAAGGAAGGCAATTTCGAGAATATTCACATATAGCCATATGAACATTGAAGCAAGTAAACAACAATAGCCGTTTGAGTTCACAGATTAGACATAAGAGTTTGAACATTGTCTGTGGTGCTGCTTGTATAGCAGACTTCTTTATTGCAACGTGAAATATTTTGCCTAAGTTCAAATCCAATCATATATTATATAGTCCTTTTTTATTTTTATAACCCTTTTTTATGAATTGATATTTGAATTCTATTTTAATATTATTTCCCTGATTATTAAATTTTCCTGTCAGAAGTCAATTTCTTTCGTTTTTATTATTTCAATTTTTGTTTATGCGCATATCAAAGAACATCTGCGCATATGTATGTATATACATTTTGCTTATAGAGTGGTGTAGTTCGTTGCGTAAATTGACAGCAGTGGTGACATTTTATTTTCGAACTTGCGCGTTTTCGATGTTCCTTCTTAGCAATTAACATTTTAGTACTGCTAACATTTGCTCCTTCTCTACTCTTCAACATTCTCTGCTTTAGACATAGTGAGACAAAAATACTATTGTATACAAAAAAATTTATAAAAGAGCTGCTAAATGCCAAATTAACATTTCCAAACTTGTTGTTTGGAAACTTCAACGCAACCAATTAGCGCATATAAAAAACATTATATATTCATATAATAGCTCCGACATCAAATTTCGTGTCTGATAACGTCACAAATTGTAACAAATTGTCACAAAACTTAACATTTATTATTTTAACCACCTAACAATTTCTTTGCCAGTGCCTGTAACAGCGAAATGTTGTTCATACTCACCTATGTATATTAACAACATAAATGCACTTCACTTTCCATTAACATTTACTGGTTCAGTGCTTTGCTGTAAAAACCGCATTATCGACTGATAGCATAAATTTGTGGCTGTCTAGATGGCGCACAACATCGCGGGCAAAATAAAGTTCATATCCAAATAACTTGTACAGTAATCACTTGATATAAGTAGATACATACATACAAATGTCTTTAAAATCTTATAATAAGAAACTCCGATGGTTTTTTTTGAAAAATGGATGGATTTTTATGAAAGAACTAATATTTACAATGTTTTTTTTTAAATATTAATTAGTGTTTTTTAGAGATTAATGTACAATTTAAAAATATTTTTTACTTATGTACATAACTCGGAAATTTTATTATTAACCATTCTTAATCTACTCATTTCCTACAGGCGACTATTTGCGCGAAAAATATGAAGAGTCTACGGTAGTGAAATTGAATAAACGTGGACGTTTACAAGTGAAAGATCCGCAGTATAAAGTGCCAACGGCGCATGATTTGGTGTATCTGGATGAGAGTCCTGATTGGTGCCGCAATAGCCGGCAGTTGCAGTGGCCAGGTAAGTTGAATAAAAGTTATATCAATTCACTTTTAATCCAAATAAAGTCACTTAATGAACCCCGAAATTTCGGTATTAGAGAAAATCATTTCTGGATCCCAAAAATTTAAATCACTTAAATAAAATTAAGAGATTTAAAATATCAAGGCTGTATTTGAGTGCACTAAAATATATCAAGATGAAGGGAAAACCAGTTCGGGATCCATAAAAATAACTTAAATAAAATCTTTATATCATTACAACAGTATTTTAGTGCCTTAGTTGATTTCGGAATTAGAATTATTAAATTAAAAACTTTTTCGGGATCCCGAAAAAACTTAAAACTTATTGTCATTATGTTGCACTAGTAAAATAACTCTATTTTTTACTGTTATATTTAGTTATATCTAGATAGTTTAAACCTTTTGAGTGCTATCAATTACTTTACGGCAACTTTTTTGCACACATAGAAAGAGTTAATACAATTCTTGTTTTAAAGATTACAACGCCTTTGAATGCTTTCAATTATTTCAGTATTAGCAAGAAAATTTTTACGGGATACCGAAAAACTTTTTAGCATTGAAATATGATTGTACAAATAAAAATTAACTCCAATCAAAATCTTATATAATATTTGGAAAATTGCAGCATTTATGCCTTCAAGGATATCGTTTCTCTGCCACCACGATATTATTGATGAATCAACTCTAATTATTTTGTACTTACAGGCACACATGGTCGCGTTTGCAATAAAACATCCTCGGGCTTGGATGGTTGCGGCATTTTATGTTGCGGTCGAGGCTACAACACCAAAAACATTGTGGTGCGCGAACGTTGCAATTGCAAATTTCACTGGTGCTGTCAGGTCAAATGTGATGTCTGTGTGAAAGTGCTCGAGGAACACACCTGTAAATAAATAAATAATTATAAAAACACAAATATAATAACAAAACTTCATACGAAAAAAGTAACTAAAACCCAAATGATAAAATGAAACTACTCAACAACACATGACGGCGGCAAGGAGGCGATAAACACGATATGAAAATTAGTAAATAAACCAAAAAAAAAATACATGAAATTATTAGACAGAATGAGAAAAAAGAAAATCACCCGATACAGTTGCTGTGCTCTCGCCCCGATAATCCTTTCGTTCGGCCAATGCATTACAAAAATTCGTGTTAGACTGCATATACGGACATACATACAAGTACATAAAGTTAAGCAGTATGTATGTATGTATGTGCTATAAATAAAATATGCAAATAACGGCATGTTAAACTGTTATTAAAGCAGCTAAGTAACTGCACAAATTCAATGAAATTATTGTATATGAGAAATAAAGCCGATGAACTGTCTAACCCACACATATACATATACAAACAAACGTGTATGCAAACTGAAATTAGTTTTTAAGTCTGATTAAATGTATGTAATTAAATGTTATGTGCGATGAGCTGAAATTTGATACCCTCCGTGTAATTGTATGTATGTATATTTAGTAGTAGGCGCGCAGGCAGCTCCCGTCAAGCTCCACATTTGTATGTAGAAAGCAAATTCCATAATTATAAGCAGCATTAATTTGATTTAACACAAAAAAAACACACACACAAAATCAAATAATTATTATGTAAGCAGTTAGAGTTACTGTAATGAATCTTCAATTACCATCCGCTAAATTAATAGTTATAAAATGTATGTAGTTCCATATTGTAATCTATAATTTAAGTGTGCGTGTAAATGCGTGTGTGTGTGTGTAAAATATATGTAGCTAAGTGAAGTGTGCGCTTAGTTTTCCATTGCGGTACCAACACTTTTCTTACTCACTGTATTTATGTAGTAAGCTTAATTAGTACGTAGTTCTACTCGTATTAATGCATACATACAAACAAATAAACCTAACTGCGCATAACCTAGAACTATAGTTTAATGTGTAGCCTACTTTAAATTAAGTAATTTTAGTTGTAAACATCACTTATTTTAAGAAATATTTAATGAAGAATCTCTGAGCATATTTATAAAAGCTTCTGATACGAGCAAAAATATTATGAGGGAAACTATGTGTATCTCTTTTTATACATACATATGTATGCGAAAACCGTCTTTCTTGAGATATACAAGATTTTAGCGGACGATATTCTGACACAGAGTGATACACGGTAACCTCTTGGAGACTTTCCAGTATTGACGTTTTGAGTTATGCTGAAATGATTCTAACATTCTCTTATTCGAGGTGATAGATTTTCCACGTTAGTGACCGTCCTTTGATGACTAAGCACAGACTGCAGACCTTCTTAAGCCTGTGATCGTTGCCGTTAGCTCACTGGGAGCTCTTCCACTGCCGTGCCGACGACATGAGCCTACCGACTCATGCGTAGCCATTAAATCATAAATTTTAGCATGAGTGGTTATTTAATGGTACCCGCCATGTCGCTAGAATGACAGTGAAACACAAAACGGCTCTGAGGCTCTCCCCCCGCTGAACGCTGTCCTGCTTATTGGTTGATCGCAGCTAACCATTGTAGCTAAAGACCTTTCACTAACCGTAACATGTGACCCGTCCGGTTGCCTACAGCTCGGCACTCGTAGATTACCCCGAATCCGCGAACGGAGCAACATAAAGTTAAATATTTCAGTAAAACTATCTATCATATAGATAATTTTAAACTCATACATATTATTTTGAGCTTATATTCTACAAAATTGGCTACTCTTTCTAGCTAAGAGCTATGATATATGAACAAACTCTCTAAACACCTCTAAAAAAAAATATCACTCACGTCTATGACTTTAATTTCTGGCAATGATTACTATTGATGAAAGTAATGTTTCCGGCAATATTTTCAGAGAAAAATAGTTCAATAAGATTTGCTTTTCTTGGTTACGTTTAAATTTTCCAATCATTCCTTCCATATGATGCAGATAACCATCGACAGAAAAGTTCTGCTTCATCAGAAAAAAAAATTTCCAGGGTTAAGTCATAATAAATTAAAATTGCTCATTTCTCAATTTTCTTCAAGCGAATAGCAATATGTTTCCCTTTGCAGAGATATGTATGAAGCATACCTTTTAACGCTTATGGTGGTACAGCATTACGTGTACAACCCTGCAGATGAAAAGTATATACATATGGAATACTTAATGAAACTCTACACTCAATTACAAACTGAAAACATGTACATATGTATGTATGTATGTGGGAAGGAAATAGTAAACATTCTTCGCTTTAAATCAAAATGAATTAAGCCAATACTTGCGAGTAGTAATTTATTAAAATATCAAGAAGTTGTGTTTAAAGTTAGAAGTTACACATAAGCTTATAACATTCAGTGTTGAGCTCTTTAGCCGAAGAAAGAAATCATAGACTTCTTCGAATCAAAGTCACACATATGTATGTACTCGTATGTAAGTATTCGTGCACAAAGTATATAAATAATTGAAAAGAAAAGCTAAAATAGTGATTATATAGCATAAAAACGGTAAAAAAAATATATTACAATTATTGCATTTTGAATATGTGAAATGTTTGAGATTATAAATTTGAACTATACGCGATGCAACAATATAAAAAACATTATATATGTACGTACTTTAATTTATGAAGCGCATGATATTTAAAACGAAATACATATACAACTAAATTTAAAATGAACACAGTGTAAAAAAGTAAATATATAAGTTTTAGCGATTACAAGAAATGCGATAGTAATATATATTTAACTAATATAGATGGCGCAAAACAAAAATGATTGAAAATGGTCAGAAAAAACAAAAAACAGATAAAACATATTAAATGATGAAAAAACAAAATGTTGAAAAAATTGTGTATTTGATTTATAAAATGGCTTCAATAATGAAACTTAGACCAGAGTAAGATGGTTTAACATTGTTTCGAAAATCACTTACGAAAAGGTTTTAAATTTAGTTCGGCTATACAAGACGCATTAGTGACAAGCGAAGGCTTTGAAACCCATTTTTAAACAAAATTTGGAATTTACTTAAATTATGAAAGGTAAGGTAGCTTTCAAGTGATTTAATAATTAGCGACTGTTTTTTAAGCCCTTTCCGCAAAAGTTATGAATTTAGTTAGGCTAGAGAAGTGGCTTATTGACAAGCTATTGCTTTAAGAGACACTTTTAAAGGTTTTAAAGGTTAAAAAGGTTTTGATTATGTCTAGACAATTAGCAATTGATTTGAATACCCTTTCCTAATTTACTTGGACCCTTTTGAATTTACTTAGATTAGAAAATGAAGAAGCTAACTTAGTGCCAAATAATTGTATTGAAAACCACTTTCGAAAATGTTTTGAATTAAATTAGGTCATGTACAATGATAACTCTCAAAAGTAGATATAGAACAACTTAACAGCATGTTAGCATTTTTAGGTTTATATGATTTATGATATTTGTAACATAGGTATTGAAATCTATTTAGCTATGGCCGATGATAAAGCCTGAATTATCTACTATGCTACCTTTAATTACAATTTTACAACCGGTTACCTCACGTAATTATTTTATGCAACCACAATAGCCCGTTTACTAGACAACACTGTTATCAATCAACATCATCAGTTCGATAAATAGCGCAAGGAGGGTAGCGAATTTGTTCGAGACTATCCACTGAACAGAGTTGAACGAGGTGGAAATTATAGTTAATACGAATATTACAAACCATTAACGTCTATTATATCGATAAACAAGACTTTGTCATCAAGAAAGGATACTATTTTCACATACATCACAGCAGAATCTACAATATCTATTTAAATTTGATCCCTTCTACAAAGCTAGAGATTTGTACTTTCCAGAATATTAACAAAATTCAATACGAACACAACCGGCTAATCTATGGTATGTTATGAAAGACTTGAAGTGTAGAGATTTTAAAAGCTGAAATCTTAGAAAAATTAACGCATAAGTTCGTCTGCACTAAAAGATGGTGTAATATTTTCTTTTTACTAAAATAAATTTGGATACCAAAATACTTTTCGATCTGCTTCTACTTTAACCCACTCACACGAGGTACATTTTTATTAGTAGCTTTACTGCTTATCAGTTGGCTTTGCTCCCGAAAAACCGTACTCATTCATTGTTTATCATTTATCCTCAGTATTATAACTTTTATTAATACTTTTTGTCAATGCACAGCTACGCATTTCTCACGCCGCAAAGTGGACGTAGTCGATGCATGTTAGGCAGAAAATATTATATATTAATTTTTGTAACTGACTTGTCAGATTGGTAGCGGGTTGCCATACATAATTCAAATTTTGGTTGTACGGTTGCTTTTTGGCTACTATACTAACGCTGCTCGCCCTACATAATTGGGGTATAAGTATTTAACATTGCTCTGCAGGCTTGTGGCTTCGTTCTTAGCCGCGTTTACATCGAAATTTATAAAAAAAGTTTCTTTATGTTTTCAAAGCGATCACGACTTGAGGGGGAATATCAACGCGCAATCAGCAGAGCACGCGCAGTTATGTTTCGCATAACAGTTCGAGTAAGTATAGAATTTATTAAGTTTGTTGAAATATTCCTCCTAAAGCTATTGGAATTGCTGCACTGTGCAGTGATAAGCCAGTCTGTAGCATAGGATTTCTGGTCCTTATACGCTGCTTACATGTCACTCATACGCTCAGTAGTACTACAGCGCTTGTTAGGCTGAGTTGCACGCCGCTAAGTGGAACGCGCGAAAGATAAAGTAAATCCGATGGTTATAAATACAAATAATCTGCGCGAGTGTTAGTTAGTATCATAAAAAACATAGCTGCATTAATGTGAGTACACCGTCTCTGTGTGTGTGTGTGTGTATAGATGAGCGCGCAGAATTGACTTAAATCCATCACTTCCTATTCATTAGGATTACTTGTAGTTGTGTCAATGGCCAACCAGCGGCAAACAAATGTAATTAAATTTGCTCACACACACTATCATTTACCGAAATACTGTTATCATAAACGAATAAACAGAAAGTACCAAAAAATAATAATAAGTGATAATATTGACACGTTTTTGCAATATTCTGACAAAGTTGTGTCATCTGTGAAAGCTGTGGCTGTGTGCAAATTTTGTCTCTGTTAGAAATGTCTACAGTTTTTGTATGCTACTTAAAAGTATTAACTCTTCTTGTGCTCTTGTGTGAAAGTTGTGCGCCTGTGGATGTGAACCGACAACGAAATGTAACGGAAGCGAGCAGCTGGCAGTACTTGATTAAACATGGCGAGTCGGCACTGAAATTTTTGTGAGTATACAAATTAATGTTGCAAGTTTGCGATATGAAAATTCAAAATTTCAAAGTTCTAGAAGGCTTATGGTACATTGTAGAGTGTTAACAGCTCTATTTTTGTATATATTCATTTGAGTATTGAGCAACGCTTTGGCAAATAGATTTACGTCGGTTACTTGAGTTACTTTAGTGGTCGGAGAAGTTATGAACTGTTTTAACCATTTTTGCAACAGACATTTACTCGTACTAAGCAGCTTAGGCAGCCTATACTTAAGGATGTATATTAAGATACATCATCTAATATTCTAAGTGGAAAAGTTAATCAGATCGTGAAAAAACAACACATTCGTTCCCCACTGGAATATTCTTTTGCAAAGTTTCCTAGTTTGCTCGTCTAATCTACGTATTGTGTATGGAAATTAGTACCACTATAATAGCCGCTGGTAAATTTTGGTTACTATCACATGTTATAGTATAAACGAATGTCAAATGTCCTAAATACTTATTTCATTGTTTATCAAAAATCCTCCTCACTCGCCGTTAAAAAATGTTTTTAGCTAAATCAAAAAGGAATTAACAGTGTTTTTGACATATATCATATCGCAGGTACCCACAACCCAATTATTACCATGCCATAATTACAAAAAGCATACAGAAACGCTTGAACGCTTCTCTACACATTATTTTGTTCTGATTTACATTATCATTATCGAACAAATTTGGAGATTAATTTCCACATAAATACATATTATGATTACCATTTGTTTTTGGGACCAGCAGATGTTAATACGACGTAGCAAGTCTAACGATAACCTTATCTGTTACCGTAAATGATAAACTTTTCCATAAAATTATGGAATTTGTTATAAGCGAACATAAAACTATGTTCTGCTGCAGATTGCTTGTCTCGTTTGTTGTATTTTTACACATTATCAACTTAAATAATAAAGTTATAATATCCATTAAATTAATCCTTAAAAGGCGACGCTGCCCTTTTTTGACGTCGACATTGATGAAGAAACTTCTTTTTTTTGATTTTGGGCAAGTGATCGCTGCGGCTAGCTCGAAGAAATTCCAGCTGAGGTTGCTAATATCCGACCAGTTTTTGGCACAATTGGGGTGATGTGTTAGCAATAACGCGATGAATGTTCTCTTCCAAAGTCTTCAAACGGCTGTGGCTTATCTGGAAAGACAAGCGATTTTACATAGCTCACCGAAAGTTTCCTCAAATAAATTGATTGCTTCCTTAGCTGTATAGCATGGAATATTATTCCTCCAAATACGAAAAATTTGTTTATTAACGTACCTATTTAACCCTGCCCTTCATCGCTGAACAAAATTTTCTTTGACAATCTCGTTTTTGGACCATTCTCGAAACGTGCGACGCGCTTGAAGGTCCATTGTCACGAGTTGGATTTTGTAAGCCCGCAAACTAAGATCTTTCTGCAAAATTTTCCATAAAGTGGACAGGCACAGTTCCACTTATTGAGCGCAATGGAGGATGGACTCATTCGGATCGGATTCAATACTCTGATCCACAACAAATATAGCGTGTTCGGTGGGCATTGTACGGTATCTCTCAGGATGCGCGTTATCCACTTGACTAATCGTGGGGCGAAACCGATCCATTGTTGCTCGAATTACCGACTCTGCAGAGCGCTTATGTCGAAGGAATATTGTAAACAGGTCACGAACTGAACTATTATTTGATAATAAATTTTCACCATTTGCAAACATTGTTCCGGAGCAAGTCTGTTCATCGCGAAAATGTATTGCCTCATTGAAAACAACACGTAAAAAAAATACCCGTTATAAAGTATGAACAGATAAAAAAAGTGATACAAACTTTTTAAAACTCCGATTAAGCTCTCGCTGGGTTGCTGAAAAAGCTTTGGTTGAGTTTACCATTAGTCTGTTAATCTGTTTGAGTTTTAGTAATAAAAAGCACTTCAAATAGCTAAACAGTAGTGAGATGAATTCACCTTAGAGTTAAAACTAATATAGCCTTTGTGCGCAGTTTTCTTAAGTTTTCGGGTCGAACCGATCGTAACCGCTTAATATGTTTGTGGTCTAAATCGAAGCACTGCTCTTAGCTGCAGTAGATGTAGTGCACTTTCTACACTACTGCAGCATTCCTAAAACTCTGAACATTAGGTACTTTAAGCCAGCCGGAGAACTCATTTGGTTTTATACATATATTATATTATATACTAATAATAAATACTAACATTTTTCTTATTTATAGAAAAAGCTACGTTAATGTCTCCGTGACCGGAAACCTTCCTGAATGCATGCAGTATCAGTGTAAAGTTTATTGCATGAATACTCGTGCCGATCAACTAAATAACTTGCTAGTTAATGTGGGTAGAAGTAAAATTTATTTTTACTTAAAGAAGTAATATAAATATTAACTTTTTTTCAGAGCACCAATTGTTCAACCATCCAAGAGCTGCGCCTTTTTAATATGGAATTTCCGAAACAGAAAATTTCATTTGGATTTCTCGGTGAATATTGCAATAAGGTGCGTAGGCTCTATATTGGCTCTTCCAATGTCACCGCCATTGGTGCGGGCGCTTTTAAAAACGGCATTTTTGAAGAGATTCAGCTGGAAAATCTGCAATTGGAGGAATTAAACAAGAAAATTTTCAAGAATACTAGTCACATTTTCAAGCGACTTTCCATCATACAACGAAATAAAGCAATACAACTTATTAGCGACGATTTTTTGGCTCATATTAAATACCAAATAAAAAACTTCACGCTACAAGGCAACATCGAGCATATAACCAATACGACAGCATCGAGTAGTTTGCTCAACAACTTGAGATATCTGGATTTGCGTTACAATAATTTCACCAATACATTTACCGAAGATACGTTTGAGAAATTGTGGGTTGTTGAATATTTGGACTTATCACACTCGAATATACAATACCTACCCAATTATTTGTTTTGCAAAATCACCAGCACACTGTTGTATCTCAATTTATCCCATAATCAGCTGACCACAATAAATCATTTGATTTTCGGCAGACATGCAATTTATGATGATTTAATTATCGATATGAAGTATAACCCTTGGAATTGTACGTGCGACTTGCTTACGGAAATGAATTTAATACTGCTGTTTCAAAGTAATCATCCGACATGTGACGAGCTCATCGAGTTAGAAATGGTATCGGTATTGGATGAGCGTGTATGTCCCAGCGGATTGAACATAACTGCGAATTCGACTGCAGTAAAGGAAACTACAACACAATATACAAAACAAACGTCAACACTGAAACCGATTACTACAAAAAGAGATTACGACATCGAGTATATAACGACACCAACACGAGAGAATATAGCATCGCTTACAACTACGCCAACTTCAACCACAACTAGTACTGATGGCGATGACGACACAATATTGGTGCATTGTCTGGTAACTGGTGAAACGAATACGATTGCTTGGCACAACGTTTGGTGGCCCGAAACACAGATTCATTTGACAGAACTAACGGAGTTGCGTGTTGAAGTACTTTTGGAAATAACCGATTTGAAGGTTTCATATGGTTTGATTTGGTTTAGTAGCGTTGTAGATGATTACTATAGCATGGCAGTTAACTATAATAAATATGGCCTGGGTTGTGTAGGACCTGTTAGTTATACAACAATTGTAGCCAATCTGTTGCCAAATACCGCTTACACCTTTTGCTTGATGCCCAACGATAAGTTAAAGATTTCTCCATATCACTGTGATTCACTACACATGAATTCTAATCTGCAAGTAGTCTATAATACATGGCTGTCGAATGACATGCGGTTCACGGGCATAACACTGACCATACTTGGTGTGTTATTTAGTTGCTTCTTGGGCATTGCGAGCATATTCATACTGCTAAAGTATAGGCCAACACTCTTGAAAGGTAGTAAACGTGTTAAAACCACAAGCGCCAATTCAATAGATATCGTCATCTTTCCAAAGGAGCGCTCATTGGAGGATTTGAAAATCAAGGAACAAACGCTAACAAAGCGCAATTCTCGCAGGTATGTACTAAAAGTTGATAAGAAAGTCGCAAGCTACTAAGCAATTAAAGTATAATATATTTAAAGCATAATAGAAGAGAGGATAGGAAAAGAAAATAAGATAAGTGTATATGAACTTTCGTCCTAGGAAAACTTTTTACTGAATATATTAATACCGCACAGACTTATATGCGAAAAAAATTCAAACACAAACCCACGATATAATTAAAGGTACTTTTAAGGGGTTTGAAGACTACTATAAGCTGAAAACTCTTAAAAATTTACTCTCAAAAGCTTAAAGCAAATTTAAAATCTTTAATTTATAGCAACTAGAACGTCCAAAAAATAAAAGTTTTGCTCTGGAGTAAACAAGAAATGAGAATATTTTCGAATGTGGAAACAACAATGATTGTAGGCCTACAGTTATTGACTATAAGAAACCTATGGATGATTGTAAGGCAATCTTGAAAATATTGTGCACTCTTAAACGGTGCCTCCCTCTTTAATCTACTCAAAATAATTTAAAAAGCCTCTCTGATCTCTCCAATGATCTTATCAAGCTCAATTTCAGTTATTTTGAAGCCTATTCAGGTATATTAAAAGTTGTACCGTATGCATATGTTTTTCTTTCATCGAATTTTTATAATATGTTTTGTTAGTATATTTTATAAAATTTTTACCTGTTAACCTTCCAATGCATATTTCAGCGCCTACGATACTACCAATAGCAATCATACCTCTAACAACCATACAATACGTCGCGGTTCCGATGTTAGTGCTGAGAGTAATCAAAGTTATATGAATGCCAACTTATACGAAGTAATACCGGCTTATCTACGTCTACAAGATATCGATTCGGATTATGAAAAGCAGTCCTTGGAATTGGAGTCTATTGACAGTTACATGACAACCTTGGCACCCAAATACGAATGCACTTCGGTCAGTTATGCAGAAGTTTCGCCACGCAACAAACGTGCATCAAATGATCCACTGCCTTCATTACCAACAGAATGGGCGTCTAGTACAACTACTTTTGCGCTGGGACTGCCGCTGTCAATGCCAGACAGTATGCCCTATATAACTGTGTCAAAGACGAATAAGAATGCAGAGAGTACAGTTATTAATATGTAGGAAGCTTGGAATTGAAATATGCGACGTCAAAAAGCTCTATATGAAAACTGTATAGGTGTAGAGCATGTATATCTATGTATATTATGTTAACGATGTAATAAAGGAGGGAGGACTGATGAAAGAAATATTATTTTATTTATGAATACGTACTGGAAACTATAGCTTTAACAGTAGGCAAAATCTTTAGAATAAATATTTTCCACGCTAACTGCGTACCCGAAGTTACGTTCACTATATACCCATCTTTGCCGATAGTAAGTGAAAAATAGAAACATATTATATTATCAAATAAAAGAATCCATATACAAAATGAAATATTGTACATTTTTATATACACAATTTAAGCACCACAAATAGGTTTTTGAGTTTACATAAATGTAAACATTATGAAATCACTATATTCATTACTTTACAAGCTTATATATTTAAGGCCTTGTGTCTATTTATTTGAATAATTTACTAACTAGAACTTACTTCTCTTGTTAGCTTCGAATACATATAGTTAAATGAATACAGGGTGGTCTAGAGATTATGATGTGATTCTGTTTGATAAAGATATGATATAAGCTTATTCCAAATATACCATCTAATAAAATTTTACTTGAACTGGGCCATTTAAACTGCGCGCACAAAGCGAATCGATAAACAAATTTTCCCAGATTGGTACAACTATGTTTTGTGTCAAAAAGCATTCAGTGAAGGTCGTAAAGTCATCGAAAACTTGATTCATGCAAGTAAAAACAGACCTGGATCTTTTGAAAAAACAACGTAGAGTACAGGTCAAAAAAGAGATATTTGGCAAAAAAGCTGAGAACACTACATTCATCAAATACATCATGTTGACGAGATGTGGGTTTATGAATATAAATATGATGTCGAAACTATACAACAATCTACCAAAAATTAGCCGAAACCCAAAAATCCAACATTAGCTAAATACACTGAAGGCGATTTCAGCAGAGACTTATATGGAAAATTGGATTAATCGTTGGCATGCTTGAATTGGATATACGCCGGATTCAAGCAAACGGCCAGGTGACAAAAGAGGCAATACATTGAACAGTCGCAGCCCCTGATTTTCAGTCCAGTCAAAAACCAATATATGTCACTTTTTTGTCAAAATCAGACCGATTATGCAGTAAAAACGTGATATAAAATTCGAGTTCGAAAGCATTGAATTAAAATTTTTAACTCATACAGCTTTGACCATATTACAAGGTGCAATTCAAAAGTTTCAGGACTTTTATTAAAAAACGCATATAATTTTTTTTTTTTTTTTTTTAAATTTAATCATCGCCATAAACTTGTTTCATCATTTAATAAGTTTTGGTAAAAGTTTTACCAAGTTTAAAGCAAAACTTAATGTTAGCTCTTTGTTCGATGCTCATTTTCCGACCGACACTACAAATGTAATGTCACATGTAGCGCGATATCTCAGCTGTTATACAAGTCAGCTGTTATATAAATTTTATACGACAACACTGAAGAATACACAATTGAGGGATAACAATTTCAGACAGATGGCGCCACTAGAAGCCGCGTTGTTTAAAAAGTCCTGGAACTTTTGACTTGTCCTTGTATTCCTTTTATTGTATTTTAATTGAAATAATTCCACATATCTCAACCCGCCCTTTACTATTGAAAAGCTGTCCATAACTTTATGATTTATTGGATACGCTGTGTAATAACATAAGTTAGAGCATACTATTAGGCGTTTTAACCCATTTACGTAATATAACTTGAGCTAACAAACTAAAATCAAAAATGACTGTACATATTGATATACAGTAATTGATGCCTATACAATAAATTAAAGTCCATATACACTTTGGTGCGCGAACCAAAAAATATTGAAAACACTAAAAGTAACTTCACTTGAAAACTGTAAAAATTAATCATTATGAATAGGGTTAACGGTAATTACTCACACTATCAGTAATGCACAAAAATAGTGCACAGTCATTTCCATGTATAGAAATCACCACCCACTTACAGAACTCCTGCATGCATTATACTTTTACATTCACCGGCAGGCAGCTGGCTGTTTTATCAAATCAAATAATCATAATTATATTAGCGCATCGATAAGCAATCATATTTAATTGTTTACTAAATAAATTAAGCATGAAAAATTGCTGATAGTGAGATATGCAAAATGCGCCTGAAAATCGAATATGGAAAACCAGTTTGTAGAAAGTTGTTGAATGCAAAAGAGTGGACTTCACGGCAATCGAGGCGTCACGCTATATATAATATAATATAAACCTATATAGATATATTGGTATATACATATATGAATGAGTTTTTGCGTGTGTGTATAGTATCGCTAACAGTTTTTTGTTTATGATAAAATGTTTAAATCGAAAACATTTCGTATAAATCACGATATAGATAAAAAGCCAAAAGTACATGAACTTTGGTATGAGCCCAAAAGAATACGGTGAGATTTTTATTGATTTTAAATTTGTATTAAATTTCATCTTCATTGGTATCCTTGTTCACTTCTCAGCTGGATAAAATTTTTTACTATACCACTAGTCATCGCTTTCTCATTGCTTTTGGTGTTGAGTAATGTGAATTTCTCGGGTGAGTCATATGAGCTCACTGTACCACCTTCAGGTGAAAGGCTTACAAATGTCATACAAACGCCAACAAAGGAAGTAATCACTGCTGCTAATATACCGATGGAGCAAGCTAAACTTGTCACTATAGAAAGTGATGACGAAAAACAAGAAGGGAATGGCGGAGTAGATACTGCAGTGCAGTACTTGAACGAGGCACAAGCAGTAGCGACAGCCACGTAAGCAAAAAATACAGAATCGCATTATTTAGCTATGTGAATGTAAAAATTAATCAGTTTTATAAGAAAACATTTAAAACAAGTAATGAAGCGCTAAGTTAAGGTGTAAACGAACATTTCATACTCTTGCAACTTGCAAGAAAGCTCGCTAAATACCATCAGATGCTGGCAATATCAAACAATTTAGCGAAAGGGTTCAACTTCATTGCATTCAAGTTTTGTATCATATTAACTTATTTTAATAATTTTAAATCCCGTCCGCGAAAATTGTGCTCAAATCATTGGGGACAAAGAAATCGAATGGCTTATTGGATTACTTTTGGCATTGCTCAGGTATATTTGAGAGCTTATTTTCAAGTAATTTTATAAATATATTGTATAAATGTAAACATATATATGGAGTGAAGTCAGCCGGAGGTTTCAAAATCCTGAACATCAGTTATATGAGGTTAAGGCAAGTTATTGCACGATTTTATCAATTTTTAGCACAAACATACACTGTTACTAGGAAAACACGCTCTCTCAATGTCACTAAAATAACTCCCACATTGGCCGTTATACTTGTATGTGTTATAAAGTCAACTGGAAGTTCGAAAATCTTGATATTTGATATATGAGGGCTAAGAGAAGTAAGTTTTATCCGGATACATTGATTGTTTCTTGATTTGTATACTGGAAAGTGAAAAAATCAGATGGAATTTTATATTGTGCTAGATAGGAAGTAGGCGTGATTTTTGTGTGTTTTAACTTATTTTTCACTGTATTGTAAGAATGTCAGGATAATATTACATACCGAACCGATGCCAATCCCATCCATCAATTTTGACCACAGCTCATATAAAGCTCTCTTGTATCATCCCGACTGTAAAAGTTTCTATTACTGAAGCATTCAATTATCGATTTATCGCGCTTTTAGTAGTTTTTATATGGCGAGTAGGCGGGGTTATCAGTGTGCGGTGTTATTAGTGGGCGAGGCCACTCTCATTTTTTTATTTTTAGCCCACAGGTACCCTTTTATACTGCAATCTCCTGTACCGAATTATAGTTTTATATATAATATTAATTTAGTGCTTAGTTATGGAATTTTATAACTTTTCCATTATTGAGTGGCGGTGGTCCGATTACGTCTATCTACGAACTCGTTCACACTTTTTTTGAGAAAGAACACGTGTACAAAGTTCCATTACGATATCTCATTTTTTACTCAAGTTACTGCTTGCATGGATGGATGAACGCAAAAACGGACAGACAAACAGTCACTTGGAATTCAACTCGTCTCGTCATCCTGAACATTTACATATAATCTAAACATATAATGTAAACTAAACGCTATTTCTAACTCGATTACGTTTAGGTGATACAAATAACCATTAAGTGAACAAAACTATTACACTCTGTAGCAACATGTTGCAAGAGTATAAAAATAGAGAGAATATCGTTTACATTCACAATTTAGTGAGATGCAAGAGTGACTGCCATCCGTATCATCATGGGTCAAAACTCTGATAAACACAAAGTCCAAAAGAATATCTTTTTCTAACGAAGGTCTTCTTTCGGTGACCAGCGTCAAACAAAAGAATCAAAAATTAGTTCTGGTCAACTTAGTTCCAAGCAACAGAACTTCTGAAATGGAGTTTAATGCAATGTTTTGGGTCTAAGTTTGTTGCTGTTAGGTCAATATAAATTATTTTCTGCAGTATATTGATATTTACACAGTTATAATTCCTTTTACTCTATCACACATAATTAAAATACATTTATTAAAACTAAATTATATCGTTTAGCGGCTTCCAATGCAAAGACAACAACTCCTGTAAGACTCTAATATGCTCGGGTGGACCGATACATATGCTCCAAATTGAGTTCGAATACTATATAGATTGGTGCGGAAATATATCTTTTGACGTCATCATAGAGAATTGCACTTTCAACAAAAATACCATAGAGAGATACACATTGTCAGGAAATTTCAAGCTATCCACTTTAACAATACGAAACTGCACACTCGACACGATTCTCGATAATGCTTTCAACTACCAATCGGTAAATAAACTGACGAATTTAACATTTGTTGGTGTACAATTGAAAGCTTTGAACGCACAGACGTTTTTTGGTTTGGCAACTGTGGAAAATTTCAAACTATTCAATGTGCTTAAGAAGGACACTCTGCCTTTGAAGGCCAATCATTTCTTGCAACCAATGGCAGCGAGTCTCAACAACTTAGTGTTGCAACAAACAGAGGAATCATGTTGTTCCAACACCATATATGATCCCACTGAGTGGTTGGGTGGTACCAGCACCACCGCCTACAGTAAACTGTTGTATGTCGACTTGAGTGGCACGAATTTTAACGATAAACTTAACGGTAATACATTTGCAAAACTCTCAGCTGTGCAAGAACTTCGGCTGGTCAATTGCAGTTTGAGCACAATCGCCGAAAAAGTATTCAATGGCATTTTGTCGACACTAAAATCGCTCGATTTGCGATATAACCAATTACAAACGTTGGACGGTGAATTTCTAGCCACTGCTATTACTAAGGGAATTAGTATAGAGTTAGGGTGGAATATGTGGAGATGCGATTGTGACAATATGGAAATAATTGAAGGCATGAAGCAAGTAGAAAATAATTTCGCAGCAGATACAGTATGTGCAACGCCAACAGAATTGGCAGGCATACAAATCAGTTCGTCACAAATAAGCTGTTATAGTGAGCAATTCATATAATATAAAAAAGTAGTAAATAAAAATTGTCGACCTTTCAGACAAAACACAACTTACAACAGTTTTAACAACCGTAATGTCCATAGCAGCGACTACAACTACAACTAAAACTTTTACCGACGAAACCACATTAGCAACCACTGAGTCTACACCAACAACTTCTACGACTATCACCGACAACTCAACCTTAATGACTTCAGCTACAATGACAGAAACGATGTAAGTCAAAGCAGTGGTAAGTATCATATCGATTTATTACACTATAACTAACAGCATCTAAGGGATGATATGGCTAAGATATTCAGACAGTTTTGCTAGCGTATGATTTTTGTCAGTATATCTAAACATACAAAGGTTCGTTTGCTATCGGTTAACCTTGAAGTATAATTTTATACGATTGCAACATGTTGGTAACGAGTAGGGTAGAGCGAAAAATAATATGTTTTTTGCCTAGCCTGAGGGTAAAATTTGTAGGTTATAAAAAGAAAATTTTGTAAAAAATATACATTTTTTTAACATCTAGAGGCTCACTTTTAAATAAAATTTCGAGTTCCGGTTGACTTTAAACTGTATACATTAGTCAATATCTAAGATATCGTAGCAAAATATTGGACATACCCTATTGTCGTTTAGTAGAGAATGAAATAAATATATTGCATTAAATGTTAACAATTTTTCAGATTCAACTTTAGTCTCAAGAGTAGATAAAACGATTTCTGCAACAACACCCAAAGCTACTAACATTATAAGTACATCAATAGCAAGAACTAGTACAACTGTCACACCACCTGCATCACTAATGACCTCCACGATTGAAGACGAGTCAACCAAAGAAAGATTAGAACCTTATCGACAACTACACCAAACTAATCGACACAACAAACGACAATACAACCTTAATATTTTTCTGGGAACAACAACAATACCAATTTACAATACGGAAACAACAAAGGGAACTGAAAATACAACGATTAGTTTTCCCTGTAAGTACAAGTATTTGATGATTTTAGAAACTTTTAGTTCTTATTAGACTTAAACGTGTGTATTTCAATTAATATCTGTATGAATCTAATCTATTCATCTATTTTTATTTCTCATACTTATTTATGTTAAATCGCAAAGATACGACCGTGATCTCTAGCAGTATGGCTACAATTAAACCACCAATGAAGACTTGCTTTGAAAATAAAGACCCAAAGTATTTAACTTGCAGCAGTACCACAGCCGTTAAGATTTGCGACTATGACGTTACTTTCAATGTGGTTCCGATATCATCGCGAAGTGTACAACTGCAAATCGGTAGCGGTGCACATAGTTTACAAGTGATCTATTTTCAGGTGTTGAACAACAGTTTAAATAAGGAGGTCGAGATCGACAATAATAGCAAAATGTTGTCGATAATTTAGCGCAAAAGAAGTTATACCTTCTGTCTCATACCAAAGAATCAAACGTGTACCTCACCATTTAATTGCCGTTCAGCGCACTTGCCACAAGCTCCAGCATGGTTGAAGTATAACGATGTTGCGCTTTTTGCACGATCGCCATACTCGTAACTATTGTTTGCCAATTTAGGGGTGGCAGCAATATATTTTCTACTCCGTTGGCGGCCAACTTTATTGTATGGCAATAAACGTTTGCATCGTATTGCTTCCACAACGCACAAAGTGCTACTATTCCCGAAACCGAATTGCACATCTTTCAAAAGTGAGCTCGCAAAATGCATTCATCGATTAGTGATTCATTGACACCGGAGAATTATTTGAATATTAACTCATACGATTATATGCAGTACTTCAAAGATATCGAGTTGAAGAAACAACGTAGAGTGGCATACATTTCGTGAATCAGCCTCCTTTACATCGAGCCCTCTGCATTGCCACCAAACGTTGGTGGCGCTGCAACACATTGTTACGATCGTATGAGCTACACCAGTGGTTATATACCAATTCGACAGCCCTCAGAACAATCGACAGTAGTAATGGAAGACATGCCACAACAGCAGCTTATACGTAGGTGTGCAGAGACGAAGTTAACTCCAGAGCCAGAATACGAAAGCTTGATTATTATCAAGAGCTTTATTAAAAGTGTTTGGGTCGAGTTTAAATTTAATAAATATTTAAATATTTTCTTGTTAATTGAAATTATATAATAATAAGATCATTGCAACAGATAATGTGAAAGTAGCTGTGTCGCATGCATGCTTCATTTAACCATGCCTTCCGTGGTCTCCACTGTTTGGTGTTCGTCTTAACTTTGAAGCAAATTACAGTGCGAATTAAACAGCTAAATAAATTACAATTTGAACATAATTGACATTAAATTTACCAACATTTCCTTCATCGATTAGATGAAACTATTAACTTAGGTATTTGTTTAGTTTAAATATATTATATACAATATGAATAGGCAAAGTTGCAGGATTGAGATTAGTTTGAAGTAGCTGATTTGGAATTGTGGAAAGATTAAATGTAGCGAAAGATGACAAAAAGATGGTTAATTAGCTTTGCGAATGCACATCCTTCAGCCGGGTCTTCTAATATAACATAAGTTGGTTTTATCGTAATCAACGGGTTGTTGAAAGGTATCATTCGACCTAGCCTTTCAACCAACTAATTAACAATGAAACTTAAGATTTTGCATGTTGCACTGCAATTATCAGAAAATAAAGGAGTGGCTGAATGAATAACAGTCAACTGAAATTTAAGCAGTAAAGCCGAAAGAATAAATCACCAAGTACGAATAGATCAAAATAACCGATAAAAATAAGAACTTTGTGTGAGACCAAACGAATACGTTGAGATTTGCACTGATTTTAAATTTTTATAAAATTTAGGAAATTATTAAATATTATTAGGAAACTTTGAAAAACTTTCAGAGTACCGTTTATACTAACAATTAAGTGGGCTGAAAGAGTGAATACCAACATATCATTTCGGTTTCTAAAAGCAGAAATTCTGAGATGGAATTTCATACTCTAAGAGGGAATTTTCATACCTAAAGTACGTACTTTAGATGTCAGCGTATCCATAAACGAGATAAGTTGATATTACATATTTTTGAGTTTCGTTTGCACAGACAACAACTCTTGTAAGACCCTATTTTGCTCGAGTGGTCCGATACATACGCTCCAAATAGAATTCGAATACTATATGGATTGGTGAGGAAATAAATATTATGACGTCATCATAGAGAATTGCACATTCAACAAAAATACCATAGAAATTGCACACTCGATATGATTGTCGATAATGCTTTCAACTACCAATAAGTAAATAAACTGACGAATTTAACATTTATTGGTGTGCAATTGAAAGCTTTGAACGCACAGACGTTTTTTGGTTTGGCAACTGTGCAAAATTTCAAACTATTCAACGTGCTTAATAAGGACACTCTGCCTTTGAAGGCCAATCATTTCTTGCAACCGATGGCAGCGAGTCTCAACAACTTAGTGTTGCAACAAACAGAGGAATCATGTTGTTCCAACACCATATAACCACTGAGTGGTTGGGTGGTACCAGCACCACCGCCTACAGTAAACTGTTGTATGTCGACTTGAGTGGCACGAATTTTAACGATAAACTTAACGGTAATACATTTGCAAAACTATCAGCTGTGCAAGAACTTCGGCTGGTAAATTGCAGTTTGCTCGATTTGCGATATAACCAATTACAAACGTTGAACGGTGAATTTCTAACCACATGCAAAGAAAGAGTGCATGGTATGATGTTGTGTTCGAGCGATAGTCCAAATAAATTTTAAAGGGCTTAATAAAGAAATACCTCTTCTTACATTATAGATTGTAGAATACGTTTTTTTTTTCAAATGTTTAACTTGAGTTTTATTATATTGATATTTGTTACAGATATTTTGAGACATTTTAACGACCAATAAGGTCAAATATGGTCATTCTAGAACTTAGACCTATATATATATATATATATACAAGTATATATATATATATATATATTATATTATACAATTGGTATGTTCACCTAAGGTTTCGTTGTAATAATCAAGTTAGATATAAAGATATATACATATATGAAAATAATCAGGATGACAAGATGACTAGATTTTTTTGATATCAGTCAGTAAGTACGTCCGCATATGAAGTCTTTAATAAGCTATACACACTCCAAATATTCGTTTTAAATTTTCACATTATTGATTTTAAGACGTTCTATATGCCTTCTTTAGTTATTTGTCTACTGAATCCTACTTATAAGTTCATTTTAATACGAATTCTAGAAATGTCCTTAACTTTTTTTTTGTCTTAATACTCATAATGAGTGACTATTACTTATATAAGCACGCAATGTTAATAAAATGCAAATTTAATATTCTTTATATGGTTATCAGTTCGATATGAAGGAAAGATAACAAATCACTGATAAAAAACCAATAAACTATTAAACACCGAAAGAAAATATTCATATAGACGGGTATCAGCTCCTGCGAGATAATCAAATAATCGTGTGTACATAATATTTAATATTGCCGATTTTCTAGTGTTAGTTCAGTATTAAACAGTTACGCGACTGGACAATGTCATCAGCTGACAACAAAAATGCGCCTGTTAAACCTAAACGTGCTACACAAGCAATGAAAGTGAATAAAAGTGCCAAAGAGAAGCCGGAGAAATGGTAAGATTTGAGTATAGATATGTATTACATTAATGACTAACACTCTCATAATTAATCGCGATTTCTCATGACAGCTGCTTGAAATCGCACTTTCTGAGTGATAGTTGCATACAGGTCACCGCCTGGCTGCTCTTAACCGCCGGATTGTGCATAATAGCGACCACCATTTATGTGGGGATTCTGATGCAAACAAATCGCAATAAATATCATGATTTCAATGACACTCATGAATTTGATTACGTAACTGAGTACACTGACGCGAATGTGGAGACAACAACAGAGAGTTTTAACAAAAGTATCAGGTAGGCTTTAAGCAAATTTACATACTCGTATATATCGCAACATAAAGCTTTGGTATGCTTATATCAAAAAGTAGGCAATAAACTAATATAAAAAAAAAAACAGTTATCCCAGATCTATTGTTCTACTGATGTCGGATAGTGTGGAAGACAGGAATGGATGTAGAGAGATAAATTGCAGGATCACTTGTATGGACGCACTACGTTTTTACGATATGCTTTATGCGTCTTCCTCGGTAAGAATTAGTACTTAAATGTAAAAAAGAAAAATTAAAATGTTTAACTTTCAATGAAGTTAAGGCTATACAATAGTAGTCACAGGTACTTTTCTTTTAGCATAAAAGTTAAATCCGATCTGAAAAACTTCTTTATACCGTTGCTTTGGGTAATAACGACTCAACTCGTAAGCTTGGTCGTTTATATAACATATATACATATTCTTTAACTTAATATACCCTATATAGGGTATAAAAATAATGTAAGTGAATAGAATCATAGTGGATTCAGTAGCTTTTATCGCCTACTTTTAGGCGCCAACATATAAATTCCATAACTTTGATATTGAAATTATAATATTATCTATAACAATATCTACAATGGATTGTAGCGACGATTCACGCTTTAATTTAACGATAGACATAGGATGTGATAAACCAGTAAAACTTTTTTGACAAAATATGATATACAGTTATATTATTTTATGGAAAAAAGATCGCCACAATCGGCTAAATTGATTTTCTAATAGCTAGAAACGGAAGAAAACTTGTGTCAATAATATAGTGAAATAATAATTTTCGAGAAAAGTAGTAAAATCGACTAAAATAATAGGTATATAGCTAGAGAGAGATAGAGAGAGGTTTAATATCCCGAACCTGGAAAACTTTGATACCGATACAAATTATGTTTTAGAAAAAGTTTTGAAAATCATCCAACCTTATTTAATCTTAACGATATAATCGACTCGAGCGTAGAAGAGGTTAGCCTTAATATTTTCGTTCTGATTTGACTAATTCCTACATTGTAAATCACTTTTGACTAAAAACCCCGTCAAGAATACCATAGCGAGAAGCGAGAGCGGGATAAACCCCTTTTAAGACTTCACCGTTTATTCGTTGAATTTTATCAAACCTAAAAAGCAAAATGCTAGTTCAACTCAAAATGTAGAAAAAGCATGCTTTCATATACTTGATATAAAGTGATTGATTCACCTTAATTTCTTGAACGCTTCTGTCTCCATATTAATAATAGATCACTTAGTAATAGCGGTACTGAGTAATAGTTTTACACCGAAGCGTTGCAACGTACTGACTTTTTATGCTGATAAGAGACAAACGTAAAATCTTTAATAATCTTAAAACATATTAGAATGGTGTACCTAGCGTAGCCCAACGTTTTCCAGATTGTCCAAAAAAAATTATAGGCACATATATATTTAGTAATTGTAATAACAAATATTTTGCAGTTTTTGGTATTTTAGCATCATTATTATATCATAAGCACAAATTACATACCTAACGCTGTTGTTACTCACTAAAAGGCTACCAGTTGTACCGTTATCGATATGCTACTAATCAGAGAGCAGAGTTTTGTAAATGGAGTTTTACTCAATTCCTGGATTGATTGCAACAGGCCCATCTATGAGTTAGTGGTGAGTGACAGCAACATAACACGCATTAGAAGTGGTGCCTTCAATTCACCGCTCTTCGTGGACACATACCTCTTGGAGTTAAGTAACCTTCGATTGACTAGAGTTGGTAGTGGTACTTTACTGGGTTTGCGCTCGCTGCGTTACCTAATCATCGACACACCACTTGCCGAGATAAATCGAGCTTTCTTCCAGCCAGTACAATCGACACTAATGCATTTACGCATGAATTGCGGTCTAACCATATTGCCAGTGGCTATATTCGGTGTGAGTACATTGGGGAAATTGGAATATGCCGACCTAAGCAAAAATTTCTTTTACGGGCCACTAACGCGACAAATGTTTCGAGCCACGCCCAATTTGCGTTATCTACATATGACGCATTCAAAAGTCACTGCTATTGCCGCGGATGCATTTGACGACCTGAGTGGTGTGCTAGAGGTGCTTGATCTTTCGGAAAATTTAATCACCACTATTTCAAGCACTGCGCTAAAACCGTTATTGTTTGGTTCAAAGCGCACGCTGATCGGTTTAGCGCACAACAAGTGGGATTGTGTGTGCGAATTGCTTGAATTCGCTAAAATCTATCAGATATACCGTAAGGAATTTTTAAGCACTATCTTTTGTCAGTCTCCTCAACTTCAAAATGGCAAGCCATTAAATGAATTGCTTTTTAAAGATGATAATTGTATGCTGAATGAAAGCAACGAGATTTACGAACCCCTAGTCACCACAATTTATAATAGGTTGACCAGCACTGCAACAAAACCCACTAGACCAACTACAACAACTCTAAGAGCATTATCTACGACCACACAAAAACCCGTCACATCTACCCTAATCAACACCACAATGGCAACTTCAAACGCCAGTAGCAGCGAGATGTTGTCACCTATAGATAGTGATGGCTCCAGTAGTCGTTCCAGTGCAGAGGATTTAAGTATAATACAATTGCGTTGCTTGCACATTTTGACAAATAGAAACCTAAGGGAAGCGGTATCTGAATCGGCGGTAGCTAAACGCTCAATTGATATAGCAGCTATATCGTCGGAATCTAAAAGCTTGTACGAACTTAATCAATCCAGCTCAAGCGAAGACATTGAAGCAAATACAGTCGAACTGGAGCAAAGCCTATCCGTAGTACCAACTGCAGCGTGGCTTCCAAGCAGTACTACTTCGAAAAATGCTGTAATAACGAATACAACAAAATTACTGAACAATCGCGGATACCACAATCCATCGATGGCTTATTATAAATTTGAGGTACCCACATATAATTTTGAGTTGACTTTGTTGGTGGATAATTCAGTGCAAGTTTTGATAAACGATTACAATGGTCAACCGGAAATCAATATGATATGGTTTAGCCGCCAGAAAGAAGTGGATAATATTAAGAATGTTCATGATGCAGCACAAAATATCGAATATCATTGCGAGATGTATCGGGAGCCATATTTATTGGTTAACGCACTTAGTGAGAACACTACTTATACGTTTTGCATGTTAGAAATACCGCAAATTACGATTTCGCCATTCAATTGCCTGCCATTGTATGTGCCGAGTTTGATAATGGAGCCAGATAACACTTGGATTACTCAGGAGGATAAACAATTCACTTTGGGCATGTTGACATTGATTTTCACACTCTCGGCATTGTTTGGTGGAATCATTGCCTATTTCGGCATCAAAACGTATCCAGAATTGTTGGAGGGATCGAAAAATGTTTTGGTTGTTAAGCGTTCGGAACAGGAGTCCGAATACTTGCAGAGTATGGGTTCCATTAAAAAGGAACCGCTTAGTAGGCGATCAACGAGAAAGTAAGTATGATATATAAGCCAAATAATATCACTTTTGAACTTTAAGAAACACAATTCGCTAATTAAAAAAAAAAGGTATATAGATTTATATATTTTTAAATCCCACTTCTACGCAAAAACTTTATCTGCAAAATTATATGCTTACAGACACACACTATCAGCTTCGGAAATGCCACCAATGTCCTTGCCACCACCACCGCCATTCAGCGTATCGAATTACAATTTGGAGCGTTTATCAAGTATCAAATCGTCTTCAACATTGTTTGAGAGTTTTTTCGGTTCGCCACCATTTTCCGTTGTAGACGATCAATACGAATTACCCAAACAATATAGTCGATGTTTCGAGGAGGAGCGTTGCGTGCCCAATCCATATGCCATGAGCCCATGTTCGCCACCACCTTTACCAAAGCGGAATCCGAGCATTACCTCAACAAATCGTGTCTCCAAAAATAACTAGTAGCTGCATTTAAAAAAAAGTTTTTCTGAAATTATACAGTAACTTAATGTGAATGTTGCTCATATGATATAAAAAAGAAAAATACATGAAAATTAATTGAATTGTAATCTATATAAATATATATATCCCTGTTGTTGTCATGCAACTTTTGAAACAAGTTTCTCTTCGTCTTTCAATATTAAAAGCTATAGTAGTCTGATCTGAATAATTTCTTCGAAGATTGTAGCGAAGCTTTGAAAGGAGAGGGCTAAGAAAAGGTATCCAAAATTTCAGATCGAAATCTCAAAAGCTGAGATACTAGTTCGCGTATATACAGACGGATATGGATTAATCGACTGGGCTCGTCGCGCTGATCATACCTTTATTGGGTCTTCGACACCTTATGGGTTTTACAAACATCGTTTCAAAACCATCAAAACCGTACTCAGGGTCTACAAATTATAGTAGAATAAAATCCATTGGAAAAGAAAGATAAAATAATAAATATGAAACAAAAAAATATTTATGTGTGATGTGAGGGCAGGAAGAGGAAAGGGAGGGTCGTGGTTGAATCTTTAACGGACGGTCGTATAGTATTGCTTAGTGTCTACATGTTGGCTTCAATTTCAGCAGTCGAATCGATAGTCGTTTTATTTTTGGAAGAACTGTAGAAAATCACGGGATCTACCAGATGAATTCAAAAAAACGTACGTCGTCGAACGGAAGCGCAACTGAATATTTAGTCCTAGGCCCACCACTAGTTCCAAAATGTGATTTCATTATACAATCCTCTCACCTGTCTCAGTTTATACTGGCAATAAGAAAAGCTCTTTGCCATGAAAAAATAGTTTTAGAAATATGTAAATTTCGTAAGAAATCAACTTTTTCAATATTTTTGAATACCTCAGAAAGATTTTCACTTTTAACATATATCTACATACATAAACATATTTTTTCTAAAAATTTTAACTGAGAAACTAGAAACGAAATGGTATGTTGGTTACCAAAAAATACGTAATATTACTTATAAAAACCAAGAATTTATCTTTTTTAACCAGGCAGCGCAGGACCCAATCGACGTATTCCCCGACAGTTGGATTCAAATCGGTGGACTGTTGCCGGTATCAAGCCATCCTGAGACAAAAATGCGCAAACGACCGAAGCCAAAACTTAACCGTAGACAGCGTTCGGTAGCGTCTAAAACGATGGTAAAAACAGCTATTAAAACACTAATGCGTAATCCACGTGCTGGCGTCTCATTTATGGCAATAAGAAAATATATTGAAGAAAATTATTACAAGAATTCCTTTTCGCATGCGAACAAGCGATTTTACTTCGTCAAGCGTTACATTAGGAATTCGCTCGAGAAGGGTGAACTTATACGTACGAAAGGCACTGGCGTGTCCGGTTCATTTCGTTTACCGTTCACGAAGCGTATTCTTAAGAAAAAATCAAACAACAAAAAGGGAAATATGAATAAACGAAAACGTAATACCAGGAACGCCAAAGATATTCGTAGAAAAGTTAGAAAACAATTGAAAGAGATGGAAATGAATGGTAGATCACGTGACGGGCAATTCAGCGGCGAAAACGCAGTTGATGCAACTCTTTGTAACATCAAGGATCCGAAGCAGCCAATAGACAATGTTATGAGTAAACTGAATGTCACTTGAAAGGTAACCCATCGCCGATCTAATTATAACCGCAATTAAGACATCAAGACCTCGGCGATTTAAAAAATAATATATGTATGTATGTATATTTTTTATAAAAATGAACCACTTTCTCTGCGTGAGTTTTTTTCAATTATATTATGCTATTATACAATACAAATGTTCACAACAGTTTTTTGGCTAATACTTAATGATAGAACAATTTGGAGGCAAGTTGTAAAGATCTTACAAAAAACAAGGAAAATAACTTCGGTTGTACCGAAGCTATATAAAATACTCTTCATAAATACTAAAGTTTTCCATGGAAGAACTTTATTTTAAACGCTGAGTTTGTATGACATATGTGCTTTAGTATCGGTGATGTTATCGTTACCTAGGACAAGAATCCAAACCAAATTTCTTGCAAGATATTCTCTCAAATAAAAACTATTGTATATACAAGAATTTGATTTTGAGCATTTTGTATGGAAGCTATATATTATAGTGATCAAACGAGCAGCTTTTGGGAGAACGTGTGAAAAATTTCAGGTCAATATCTCAAATACTGGCTAACTAGTTTGCGTATATACAAACAGACAGACGGACACGTGAGGATGGCTAAATCGACCCAGCTCGTCATGCTGATCATTTGCATACATATATATGTATATTTCACAGGGTCTCCGACACTTACTGCTGGGGTTACAAACTTCGTGGCAAACATAATATTCCCGTTTCAGGGTAATAAAATCACTGTTTTAAGTTTTTTTCTGATTTTATAGATGAAACTGTTATATATATATACTCGTATATTTCACTTAAACAGCTATAAAAATATACCTAGATATATATAACGACTGTTTATTTTTTATTATATAAAGAAGTCAGATAACGGCATAGCCTTTTTAAGCCCCTAATTACAAACCTGTTAGAAACACGTAAGTTAAGCTCTGTTCTCTTTCAATAAAAGTGAGTCGTTCGTAAAATCATATTGAATACCTACAGCGCTGTATTATCTGTATATGCCCATACCGATCGATAGACTCGAACCCTTTCTCTCTCAATCACCATAAGCTCTCTGAACACATGTTTTTAGCGAATTTTCATTGTAGGACAAATTTAATAAAATAAATAATTTGTGTTTGTTGGGTTACGGACGATAAGAACAAGTGTTTTGTGTATGTATGTATATAGATATTTTTGGTATGTGTGTGTATATAGGTGTTTTGGTCGTTGGCACAGTCTGTCGCTTCAGCTATTTGCGGCTGTAGCTCGAAAATAATCTAAGCTATACACGCCTGTGAATATTCTATTTTTATTACAAACATATGTACACAAATAAATATGCTTCGAAATCGACTAGATTATTGCCTCAAGTACTCATTCACTTAAAAGTACATGAACATAAAACTTATCATGCTTAGGTATATGCTTTGCCTTAAGTATATATAATATATGTGCGCATACGGCAGATAAAGATATACATTCCTAAAATGTTTTATGTATTAATGAGTCGCGTGAATTTCATCGCGTGCCAGAAGTATGTACGTATGAATATGCTCAGATTTTACTTATCCGAGGCGTCTTTTTATACCTCATATAACACATAGATGATGTGTGACTTCTCTTGAATAGGTGAAAAGTATTTTGATGTTTGACAGAATATTGATGAAAAGTGTTTTGGTCCCGAGAATTATGCATATTTATTGAATTTCGTTCTCAGATTAAAAATATTTAAAACAGATGTATCTAAATTTTACTTTGTTATTCAGCTGAACTATCATGAGTCTTGGTCTTATTCCACAAAGAGAGTGTTTTACCAGCTTAGAACTGCATGCGGAAGTTATAAAAGCTACTTTTATTTTTCAAAAATACACTTAAAAAGTTTAGTTTAATAACCAAATGATTATTTTAGATGCATATGTATGTATAAACATATTTATGTAATAAAAGTAAGAGAGTATTTTTCCTCCGGCTTTTAGTATGTTTTGTTCTTGGATGATAAGTGACCCTTAACCGACCCTGTTCTTACAACTAATTTATAAGATTTCTAATAATTAAGAAAAAATGAGCTCACTCTAACACTTCTACGCAACTCAAAATTCCATACATATATCTAACACATACTCATATACTTAACATTTTCTATATGTCCTTATCCACCTTTTTATTTATTATTTTAATCTTCTAAAAATTTAATTATATTCAATAGTTGCAGTTTTTGTAATTATAAATTTTATAAACAATAGATATGGAAAGTTTCTTGAACAAACATTCAAACACTCTTCTTAATTAACATTCACACATTCGTTCACACAATCTTCGCGTAAATCATAAGTCTGACCACCTACGACATTACAACCACTCTCTTGCCACACCTCACACGCATTTTGTTCGGCATTGTAGTAGAAACCACTGATGAGCATATCGCAAAGGCCCTGACCCCGTGGATGAGGTTGTAAGCAGTGTGCTAAATATAGGATAAAACAATAACAGTAAATATTTTTGTAGGATTATATAAGAAACCAACCCGGTCTTTCGGCCACACTGCAGCAGCTGAGAGCGCAAATAATCAAAGCTGCGCATAAAATGACTTTTGTTATCATTTCTGGATATTTTCTGAAAAGTTTTGCGTGTTTAAGTTACTAATATTTTGAATTTTTTCAGCATTAAAGTTACTGTTCCGACCACCAGTAGCGCTTATTAACAACTGAGGCAAAATTAATTGCTACTCAACCGTGAAAGCGAAAATAAGCAATGAAATGTGATATTTGTTTATAAAAATTATCAACTGTTGGCGAGGCCATTGATAACAAAATAATATAGCAAAGATAAAACGAAAGATACATATGTGGTTGTGCACCCCGGTTAATTAACCAGATCTGGTTTTGTAAAGGGTGTTATATGCTTTTTATAACAGATCAAATAAACATGTCTACAAGTGAGGCTACAATAAATTTAAATTAAGGCGAAAATGAGGTACTATTTGATATGCAGCGACAACTGCAAGCCTTCTGCTGTCTAAATAACTGTGCCCATAAGAATATGTCTATTGTAATATTTGACAGATGCTGCTTGTCGTCTGCCGTCTTCATTGTCTTTAATACATTTAAAATCATTCCGGTAAAATTAAACATGTGATTAGAAACACTAATAACAACTTTTCATCTTTGACAGTGGCTTTCGGCTTTTGACGATTACCATGTATGTATTTTGACAAATTTGAAAGCATTCCAAACAAAATGGAAGTAAAGCAAGTAAGAGCGAGCAAAGTGAATTTAATTTATACTAAAGGAAATATAGGACTCTGAAGCTGTATTTCGCATAAAATGGAGCAAGTAAGAGCGAGCTAAGACAGATAACATTTTCATTCACACCATTACAAGTTTCAGATTTCAAGCATCAAGGATTTCTAAAGTGAACTTTCTACAGAAAATATGCGACGCTGAAGTTGTACTTTGCAAAAAAGAATTACAATCAAATGCTCGCTAAAGCAGAAAAATACTTTTAAACATTGTTTTTTTTTTTTACTTTCTTTTTAAACTGTTAAACTTATACTCTTTAATTTATGGGTAGTTTCAAGTAAATTTATTTCACTGCATTTAAGTGACTTGGTTTTTATAAAATTCAAAAATTCAAAGCTGTCAACATTTTGATTAATCGGCGCAGAGTGCTTGCCAATTTCAATACATAACAGTAAAGTGGTCCAATGTTTTATTTAGAAACTGTTATGTGCTAGCACAAATGAGACATCCAGCAAAATAGTATTATGATAAGTAAATTAGAAAAACACAAGTTAAAAAAAATTGGAAAAAAACTTAAATGAGAGCAGAATATATTGACGTATGAAAATGCTTAAACGTTTTGAATAACAAATTGGCATGTCAGCACGTTTTGCCAAGAATTCTATCAACACAGAGACAGTGCAATATCTCTACTTGTGCCTACATTAGTTTTAAAGAGTAGTTTGTAGAGGGGTTTTTGCAGGAGACAATTATTATTTATGGCATCGTAAGTAATCTTAGCTTTTTTGGTTTGTAGGAAAAACGAATGCGATCAGCGCCCAATTCAAAATAAAAATTTTTTGGGTAAAAATTAGGGTCCATTTTAAAAACACGGTCATTTACAATCAATTTACATGGAGCATCTATGCCTTGTGATCTTTTGCGTTTTATTTTCTGAATACACCAATAAATTTACTTTTGAATTCTTGAATTCTTGGATTTGTCTTCAGTAAATTTAAAATTTTTCTAATACCTTAGGTGAGACCAACTAGTGTGGATCCTCCTTGCATCATTTGCATGCTTGATAGTGTGTCATTTGTGAATGCTTTTTAGTCAAGAATATATTATCGCTACATTATTTGGAAACGTTTTGCGCTTTGTAAACCCTTTACTTGCATTATATATTGACTCTATATTTCATTCTTAATTTCTATATTAACTTATAGCAATAAAAATAGTTTCTCGTTAATCTTTTAATATTATTCCAATTCCAGTTCTACTACTTTTTCCCCGTTTTATAACTATTCCAGTTGTTAGCCTTTTTTTTTTTTTGACTATCAAGATTAATAATATAAAACTCCTTTATTGAAAAATAAAATTATCCGAATATGACCAACTGTACTTCGTTATAGTTCTTCCACATTTTTTTAACAAATATAAATCTTATAACCCTCTTACTACGTGGTTATTAAGTTCAAACGCTGAACACCGACTAGATATATCTAGTTTCGACATAGCGCTTTTCGCTAGTGTTAACTTATACATATACACTTCACTAACATAAATTAATATTTAAGAAAATTGTTAAAATATTTAAGTTTGATTTCAATGTCAGCACTTGACGAATTTACCAAAGTGCAGAATTCTCTTTCATTCTATGTCTATGTGTATGATTTTTCCGTTTTTGCAAATATAGTCGATTGCCTATAAAAATTTCTAGTAGCTTTCGCTTCGTTCTTTAGGCAGTAAAACAAACACACACAAAATTATTTGACTACATAGAAATTTTATATATTGCTCCAACACCAGACCTAACTAATTAATAGATACCACTAAAACCACAAAATTATTCAGAAAATATCGTAAAGGTTAGCCATTGTTCGGTATATGAAAGAAATTTTCGAATTTTCAAAATTCAAAATTAAAATTGCACTTGACCGATCGCAGAGGCAGAGATCGCTAACGGATGCCCAGTAACCCAGAGACCCAGAAATGCATAAAAACGAGCAGTCAATATATTGCAAAAACCCATGCAGACACGTTCGTTTATATAAATGCCAACGCATTTATTGTATCAGTTCGTTGGTCTGCCTAATTTTAGAACACAACTAGATGTATGTACCGTTGGCTTGATCTGCTGTGTACATTGCACTTTTGGCAGCAGAAGCCCTCTAATTTGCAACGTAGTCTTATCTTCGCTATGCTCAGGCGTTCTAGTAGTTTATATATACTTATATACTAGGCTATGTACAACTATGACAGTTGTTTCTTGTTTTCTAGCTGTTGTTCAGAGTTTGTAGTCTTTTTCAAAATACCTTCACATTATTTAAGAAACTTCTTGCTTTTGTTTATTATTTTGTTTAACGCGTTCTTGGCAATGCCTACGAGTGAAAATAAAACTGAATTTAAGAAGAAGGCAGCTTTTTTTTACAATCAGCATATATTTTTTCTTGTATATGTTTCTGCTAAATATATATATAGTAAATATATGTATAGTAATTACTATGGCGGACGGAAAGTTCTTTAGCTAAAAACCAGGTTATCGTGTAGTAGCGCTTATTCTACATAAAAAACGTAACCTGCGGAGTATATTTATATATATATTTCTTCACTCGAAGATTTTTGAAACTTTAGTGTTCGCTTTTCAAAATGAATTAACTTAATAACTTCCGCACCCTTCTGATATAAACTTATTGGTTTCTCACCGGCACTTTGAGTCCGTATTTCCGAAAGCGTATCTATGGTAGCTGCGCTGATAACTCATCTATCACCTGAACCCTTAAAATCTTTCAGATTCAAAAGAAAAAAAATCTTCTATTTGTACTTTTCATTCATTAGAGTATTTTTTGCTTTTTCGTTGTGCTCGTACAGTTCGTGTAATTGTCTGCTGACAATCGTCACTCATTAAATCAACGGAATTTTCAAATGTGTGGGTGTTGAAATATATTTAAATGTTTTTCATCTTTCAAACGAAAATTATTCAAACTTATTCAACGCAGATTTTCCCACAGCTAATGGAACTAATGTTTAGGCATAAATTAAGAGAAATACTTACATCAATAATAATCATATTTGTGTGATAGTTGAGATTATAGGGATATAAATTGTCATGAACGTATTTGTGAATTATTACCGTATCTGCGACTGAAGTAATACTTACAGAAATACATATACAAACTATAACCTAATTTTAAATTTACACACTTAAAGGGTAGGTCTGTTTCATTATTTCAAAAAAAATAAAAAATCATATAATTTGAGTCAAAATACCATTAGACATCTAAAACTAGAATAGTGCGAATAATTTTTGCGTTGTCTTACTTGAAACATACTTTTTCAAATAGGACAACGATGTTATGTAACGTATTTATTTGAAATTTTTACAGTACCTTCGCAGTAATTAAATTTTTTTTTTTTGTTATTATTGCCATGTTTATACCCAGGACAGGGTAAATTAAGTTTTCCACGAAGTTTGTAACACCGAGAAGGAAACGCTAGAAGCCCTATAAAATATATACATAAATCATAAGCATGATGAGCTGAGCCGATTTAGTCATGTCCGTCTACCGGTCCGTATAAACATACGCTCACTAGTCCCTAAGTTTTTTGAGATATCGATGGACTTGTGGACTTGCAACCATCCTTTTTAAAAGTGGAAGCTGCTCATTTGTTAAAATGAATATCGATATTGGACCACTAAAGCATATAGCTGACATACAAACTGAGCGATCGGAATAAAGTACTTGCATGGAAAAATGTTTCATTAAAGGATATGTTTACCAAATTTGGCATGGAATTGACCAATCAAAATCATGTTCCTGTAAGAAGTCTTTTGTATTTGTGAGTGGTATATAGTTTCGATGCAACCGAATTTAACTTTTTTTTTTGGTTTTTTTTTTTAGAAAATTTACTACGACTAATTTTTTCGGTCAAAATTTAAATTTTTTTACAAGTCCACCTAGACTTTACTAGAAAGTCTTACGTAGACTAACATTGCGTTTTTTATTTCGTTTCAAATAGCACGAGTTCCTAGAGTCAGCGTCGTTCATCGAGGTCTTCTCGAAAAATGTGATTCCGAATATTAACCGAGTAGCCGCGATTTTGCGCTAAAAAAAACTCAAACCAAATTTTATACACTGTATTTTAGTGTTGTTTAATAAAGTCTGAAAGAGAGAAATTCGATTCCAGTTTTATAACACCCAGAATAAAGGATCGAAGTTAAGTCTTTTTTAGACTTGTTAACACTTTAAATTAAATATTCGCATCTGTCTCTTTGTCTATGAAGAGTTTCAAAATTAATATATTGAAATCAAACAAGGTGTAACGCTTTGGCGCGAGAATCAACCCTACGATACAACCTAACCTAAATACTATATATTTCATTTTACATCGATGTCGCTGTCAAGGTAATGTGTTCAATATGTATAGAACTTTTCGCATTGGAAATGATTGCCGAAAATGTAGACCTCCAAAGTAAATAAACAAAGAATAAATGTTGTAAATGGGCCAGCATATGTTAAAATAAATAAGAATAACAAAAATATTATATATATTTGACTGCATCAATGCAAAAGAGAGATTAAAAATCAGCAAACTTTGTGTTTAAACGCCTGCATGGAAGAATCCAGAAGAACCACAAACAAAAAATTACATCTTTGGAATATCGCAAGTTGTTACCAGAACTTTTTGGAGACCAGAAAAAGCGCCTATGTTAATATACATGTCTTTATACCAGAGTATTTCTTTGGACGTAACAATAATAATGTGCGACAAAATACAAATATTTTGATAAAATTGGTTAAATTACTCTAC